TGTGCACCAATTATCATTTAGCAGCCGTTAATTATACCCGTCACCCCCACCTGTGACTTCAATTTGACAACTGTAATGAAATGACATAAATGCTCAATGATATTCACGCAGGCATCCGTTCTAAAATGGCTAGTAAACAATCTCGCGGAAGGCATATAACTGCATCTTACTAATGATGATTTGTTGATTAATTTACAGAATTAATTGTTCGTCTATTCAGAGTTATAAATGGATTGATTTAAAAGATTCAAGATTAATTAAAATTCAATGCAATAAAAACAAATTTGCTTTTTATTCATATGGAGAGACATCTATTGATGTGTAATCAATGTGTTAAGTTAACACAAACATATCATTTATGGTAACATTGTTTGATTATTCATGTTTTAGCAAAAGTTATGATAATCTAACTCACTCCTACTTTCTACCTTACGATTTTGTTTTAGTCATTTAAAAAAATTAATCATGCTTAATCAGTCGATGTTAAAAAGTCGATTATCAGAGAATGGCCAAAGATCAATGCTCATTCAGATCAGAAATCAAGCATCTCTGAAATAAAATGTCTGACTTCTCAAACATGTTACCAATAGATGACAATGAGAACCCGATTCGTAGGTGTAAAACCTCAATCTGAGGTCTGATGTTAAAATGAATGCATCTTACGGGTTGAGACTTAGCGCATAAAAAGTTACGTTTATTGTAGAGTCTTTTCTTGGATAATAATGAATGTGGATCTAGTCGATTTAACATTACTAATCACTTATCAATTTATTTATTCTATCAATTTTTCTATTAATATTGTTTCAACCGTTAACCCGTGTGAGAATGTAAAATTTAGTGTTTATCAAGAACGTGACATTGACCGTCATGATATAGTCAGCTGTGTTTGTCCTCAAATAATCAATCCTGTTAGCGGATATGGAGGAAGACCTTATGATTTAGAGCTTCCAATGGTTTCAAATGTGATTTTTGTTCAATCAACTAATTCCTAACTTACATGAGAATGTCCATCTTGTACTGAAGAGTAGGAAAGCATCTGTGCATCGAATAGCATCTCATATAAAGTAGTAATGAATGGTAAATTGAGAGGAGAAAGCTGGTTTTTACCAAACAGAAACAATTAACACAATTCTCACAGTTACGCACAGATTGTCGCACATGGGCAAAAACGGGTTAAAATTAATTTGTTTTAAATTTAGACTCTGTTGGTTTGTAGGGACAAAAAATTGAGTTCATTTGTGAAATTCAAAAATTTCTGCGATGAAAAGTTTTCTAGAAATTGGAGATAGAAGTTAAAACTTAAACCGCATTTTGTACAACTGGGAAACCAGATTTTTTTATGAGACTCAATTTTTCTGATGTAAATTCTGCTTGTCGACCAGAAAATGCACTTATTTTGAGAAATAAAACTTTTCTTTTTCTGTAAAACAGATTAGTTCGATTTTCAGTTAACCGACGGTATTCTATGACCGTAAGAGTTAGCGAGATTAAACTTCTTATTTGTCAATGAAAATTGTTGACTCACATTATGGATTGAATAATTTTAAAAATTTAACAATATTTCTCTTGATTTTGGCCATTGTCCTTAAAACTTTGAACCTCAATATTTCGAGCCTAGCATCACCTACAGTCACCATTCTTACGCCAATTTAACCCTTTACTAATGTGTATTTGTTTTAGGTCGAAACGAATTGATTATCAGTTTAACTTCATTCCCAGTGCTCATATTCAGCCTCAAACATTAGCTTTCTAACAACAAAACAACACTTTTGTTGCTAAAAAGCCACAAACAACACAATTGTAACATTTTTGCACAAATTGATACAACTGCTTAAAGAAAAATGGGCGCAAATGGATAAAAATTGATTTCTTACAAGTTTAAACTCTTTCAGTTTGTAGAGACATGAAAACTGTGTCCATTTGTGCGAGTTAAAAGTTTCTACGACCCACAGTTTTCGAGGAAATTGCGGTCAAAGTTGAAACTTCGATCGCCTTTTGTACAGTTGTGGGGCTAGATTTTTTCATGAAACTTATTTTGCTAATGTAATTTTTTATGATACACAAGAAGACGAACTTATTTTGAGAAATAAAATTTCCCGTTTTCTTTAAAACCAATAAGTTCGACTCTTAGTTAAACCGAACGAACGGCGTGACCGTAAAATTTAGAGATCTGAAACTTAATATTGGTACATAAAATTTGATTGCGCACCTCATGGATTGAATAATTTTTTCAATTTATCAATAGTTCTCTTGATTTTGGCCATTGGCTTTTGAACTTTGAACCTCGATATTTCGAGAAAGGTAGCACCTAAAATCAAAATTTTGCGGCTAATCATTAGATTGAATTATGGGCTATAATATGATATGAATTATTTAATTTTCTATTGAATGTATTTCCAACACACACGATTTGTGTTAGAATAGCCATTTAACTCAATGAATCAATAATTAAATCTGCACCATAAGTAATAAGTATGATGCTATAACTTTTTTCGTATGGTCATTAATGATTTTTTATTTCGTATTGTCCATAATGCATAACTAATGTTTAGCCGCAAAATTTTTATTTCAGATGCTACTATTTTCGAAATATCGAGGTTCAAAGTTTTGAGGCCAATGGCAAAAATCAAGAGAACTATTGATATATTGAAAAAAGCATTTAATCCATGAGGTGTGCAATCATTTTTTATGGACTAATATTAAGTTTGGAATCTCTAACTAGTAAGGTCGCTCGGTAATTTCGGTTTAACTAAAAATCGAACTTATTGGTTTTAAAGGAAACGGGAGATTTCATGACTCAAAATAAGTTCGTCTTCTTGTGCATCATAAAAAGTTACATCAACAATATAAGTTTCATGAGAAAATCTAGCCCCGCAACTGTACAAAAGGCGATCGAAGTTTCAACTTTGACCGCAATTTCCTCGAAAACTGTGGGTCGTAGAAACTTTTAACTCGCACAAATGGACACAGTTTTCATGTCTCTACAAACTGAAAGAGTTTAAACTTGTAAGAAATCAATTTTTATCCATTTGCGCCCATTTTTCTTTAAGCAGTTGTATCAATTTGTGCAAAAATGTTACAATTGTGTTGTTTGTGGCTTTTTAGCAACAAAAGTGTTGTTTTGTTGTTAGAAAGCTAATGTTTGAGGCTGAATATGAGCACTCTCAATTCATTTCGACCTGAAACAAATGCACAATGATCTTTGGAACACTCTTGATAGGTTTTCGTAATAATAAAGGATTACAATTCGATTTATTCATTGATTTTATAAGTTTTGGTTGAATAGAGGTTTGTTTAATAAACTCGTTCTGTTTTTTGTGTCCAACAGAGCTGGTTTCCGTGTTGAAGACAAGATCAAAATTTTGGAATACGAAGGATCTCAATTGAAGACAGAAGATTTGGTCAGCAAAATATCGAACATTGAGATAAAAAAGATTGTCGATGATGTTATTTACCAAGATTTAGGTTGAGATGAGTTTGTTTTGTTAAATAAGTTGTTTCTTGTGCATTTACAACCCAAATATCGATCCAAATGCGCTAATGGAAATTTATTAAATTGAATTGAACTACCGATTGATAAAGGATCGAATTGGAGTAAGAATTATGACTGTAGCTATGCTCGAAATATCGAGGCTAAAAGTTTTAAGCAAAATGGCCAAAATCGAGAGAACTGCTGTTTAATTAAACATCCTTCATGCATTTACGAAACACTGTAATCTTAGTGTGTCAACCCTTGAACAACCATTGTAATACGTTGTAAATCGGAGGCATTCATCCGTCAATATTAACAGACGGAATGTTGGTCGAACTCAATGGAAAGAATTCTAATAAAAGAATTGCGGTTAACTGTAAAATTTTGGATATTTTGATAGATCGAGCAACAACAGTAATCAAAGTTACTGATTATAACGGCCTGCCAACAATGCTTTGTCTAAACAATGCAATGTGTTCATTGTTCATCTAACATTATTTTAGTAACAATTTAGTGATTATCTTCGTATCTATTCGTTGAACAATCGATCACAAGCCCGTCTCAACTTGATTGAAGCTAGAAAAGCAATATTAAAGAATATTTAAAGAAAGATTCTATTGCGAGGGAAGTTACAGAGTAATTTTCATTAAACATGGTAATAGAAGATGAGCAATAAAGATGGACAATGATTGTAAATCAATGAAATCTGTTCAAACAGATATCAAGATATGAACAAGTTGTCAACAAGTTAAATCAAAATTGAAAGGAATCCAACTCAACAAATGTTAAAAAGGCTGGAAATTACCGATTCAATTTCATTATTCTCAATAATAAACTAACATTACAGTAAAGAGCATTAAAATTTGATCCCAGAATACCAATTGAACTGTTTGACCGGTGTTTATCAAGACCTTTAATATATGATAAATTTTCAAAGTCTATTTACATTTCATTTCATTTCTGTACTTAACTTTGGATAAATTTCAGATTCTTTACTAAATATTGGATTGCAACGTTTTTTGATGAAGATTACAAAATTTGATGATGAATTTTGAAAATTTTTACATGTTAGTTGTAATTATAATTATGAAATCAATCAAAACTGTCAGCTTTCAAACCTTGAGTTTTGTGTTTTGACAAGCGAATGAGCTGTAAGGATTTAATGCCATTTCAATGGATAACAATTTACAATTTGTAATTAATAAACATCTTGGCTTGGTGAGTGAGTTTCTTGGTTTTAAATTAATGCTTGAAAACAACAAACTGACCTGATTGTCAACTAAATTTTAGTCAGTTTACTTGCATACCTTGGTTAATCTTCATTTATTAAATGAAACATTAAACTGGTCACCGTATTTCATTAAAATCATTTTCAATTCAAGTTTTCAACAATCTTGAGCTTGTTTTAATTTTTAATGATCGTTATGATTGAAATTTGTGGTTTTTTACCGATTATCATTGTCGAGTGAATAATATTGTTAAACCGATGATAAAATTACTTGTAAAATAACAATAAGTTGGGACAATTATTAAATACAATGACAGTTTATTATAGTGAAATTGTGTGAATCAACAATCACAGCAATTCAACTGCTGTTTAAACAGAGAGCATAAGTTATAAAAAGTCAACACAATGGACTTGAATTATACAATTGATACAATAAACAATCGTGATGAAATGTGTTAATCAAAAGTGAAGTATTAAGAATGTTGATTACGGTCATTAGAGTTGTCAAATTTTTGATTCTGAATAAAGTTGAGGACAAGGTTAAGGTATGAAGATACAGTAAACAAGATGGAAACTGAGAGAGACAGATTAAACATTATTTAAAACGCTCAAAAAATCATTTCACTCTTTTCCCGAGTGTGACAGTTGCTGAGATTTACTTTAACTAGTTAACCAAATATATCGTAACAGTAATGGAGAAATATTTCAGTTCAATTTGTTTAATATTTTTAACCGTACTGATTAGCCACCAATCCCATTATATTAACTGTGACAACTCCAATGTAGTAACATTTTCTCCGTACAAAAATAAGAGCCCCAATAATGCAAGTCTATTGGAGGAGCCAGTTCGACCCAAACGACAATCAACCCAAAAAACCTGTTCAATAACACCTATGTCCACAGAAGGTCCATACTACTTGAAGGATGTTCTTGAACGACGTGACATTACCGACGGAAAGCCAGGTATACCTCTTAATTTGACAATCAATGTTATGGATGCAATGAACCAGTGTAAAACTTTATCCGGTCTTCGAGTCGACATCTGGCATTGTGATGCTTTAGGTGTCTATTCAGGAGTTGGTTCCATTGGTTTTGCATCTCGTCGCTTCGGTCGAGGTAAGCGTCAGGTCATGACATCAATTAGTCCTGTGGACAGGTTTTTACGTGGTTACCAAATAACTGATGCACAGGGTCAAGTAAATTTCAAAACCATTGTTCCTGGTTGGTATCCTGGTAGGCCTATTCATATTCACTTTGAGGTTTACTCGCCGTCTGGTAAACTTGTCCATGTTGGTCAGCTTTATTTTGAGGAACCCTTGTCTGCAACACTCGATAATATTGAACCTTATTCCAGAAATCCATCGAAACGAGTTCCAAATGAAATTGATCGTATTTACCGAGATACAGATGGCTTCAAGACTGTCCTCTTTTTGCTTGGAAAGCCAACCGAGGGAATGACATCTAAATGTGGAATTGGTTTAGATTTATCGGCAACAGTTCCGATCCAATTTTCAGGTCGAGGCTTTGGACGAGGCTGATGAAGAAGAAGATAAAGCAAAATGTTAAAGTTATATCAATCAACAAACAGGACTCAATAACCTTTTTGTAACTATAATGTTCATTAAATGTAAACCTTTTTATCCAACTTTGATCCGATTCAATCAAGTTACTTCCTCAAGCTGAAGAGTTCCGAATGCAAGGCAAAATATCATTTCAAATCTTAAAAGTAAGAATATATTTATCTAACTTAATAATCATGCTAATCAAAAAACAATACAATTGATGTAGCCTTGACTGAGATAATTATTTATGAAAAACTATCTGGTTCACTTTCTTTGAACCAATTTTTATTCCTGAATTAGTTCAAAATATTAACCTTATTTCAACTTTGATAAACAAAACCTAATGCATGAAAAGGATGAATTTTTAAAGCACAAATTAAGATCGGCAGACACTTTGAGCTTTCCAATGGACTAATATGATAATGAAACAATGTTAACCATGTCAATGGTTATAGACTAACCTTTTCAATTATGCGTGTAATCAATTGATGTCCTTATTTATTGAAACCATAGCATTGTCGGTGTTCGAATATTTGTTACAATGTCTGTCTATTTAAACCCATCATTAAAAGCGTCTATCACCAGTTGATCACCACTCGAGAAACTTATCCAAGCAAAAAAAATGAAGCTATCAATTTGTCTTTTCTTTGTTTCAATCATAACATTGTCCACACAAGTTCCAGCGCCGTCTTTCCAATTCAAAGACTGTGGTAAGTTGATAATCACTTGACCATTTTATTACAACAAGCTTGTAACTAAATAAAATTAACACTTATTTAACCTTTGTATAACCAAAAATTGGTCATCTCCATATTAACGGTTTTTGTTTATCATATGTTTCATGATAGGGAAATCAAACGCCATCGTGCGGTTTGAAGAGGTTTCAATAAAGCCTGATCCTGTTTATTTTGATGGACTCGGAGAATCAACAATTATTTACAATATTCGTCAAGATTTACCTTTGGATGCTTTTTTACGTGTTGATCTTTGGAATGGCAATCGAATTGCCGAAGAAGCCTTGAAAGATGAAGACCGAACACCATGTTTACTTGGACCTGTATGTGAAATCGCCGTCTGTGATTGGATGCAATTGGAATATTACTCTTGTATGAGTTATCACAATTCAACTTCATACTGTACATGTCCAGTTAAAGCAGGAATTAGATCTGATATCAGTGAAAAATTCATCTTCCCATCTAAATATCTGTTGCCACTTTGGTTTAACGAAGTAAGTCTAACACATTTCTTATTATTTCAGGTTTTCATTAGCGTGAAGCTTATTTTTCTTCTTCCATCTGTCTTGTCCCTAAATATTAATCAATATTATTGTTTTGAATTATTTTAGGGTACTTATACTTCAAGATTCACCATTATGGATGGATCAAGGAGTGAACTTGGATGCCTGTTATTGTCTGGAACAGTTGTCCACAAACAAAGTTAATTGGTCTCTATTGTACAATCCAGGACAGTTTATCAGTCCATTTTTTCAAATTCGGTCCCAATCTCCATAAATCACACAACACTGTGAATTATTTTCAATTATGTTTCTGTACATAAGTAAAACCAATAAACTAGATAACATTATTCCAACTCTTGTGAAGTCCATCTCTATGAATTGAGATCACAATTGATGCTTGCTGGTGCTTGTTATAAATCTCATGTTAAATTATTCGAAATATTTGACAATCTACTGTAAATTCGCATCATAAATAATTGGGTAAAAATAAGACAATTGCCTGAAAATTTTCACTTGTTATATGAGAAGTCAGTTAATCACTTGTTATCAATCAACGACGATGGTGAGATGGGAAGTGTCGTCTTCTCAGCATAAAGGTGGCCAACTTTGGGCATTCAAACAATTAGCACATTCTCTGGTTAATAAATGGCTTGCCAATAAGCTTAAACCAACAATAATTAAGAGCCTGACTTAATGATGTGACTACAACGGATCAATTTCAAAATTTTAATAAAGATTAATTACAATGTGAAAGGAAGTCATTCATAGGATCATCTGTTTCAATACAACAAAGAGGAGCTTAAATAATGTAAAAATATGCGTTTTATTGATAATTAGGTTGATCAATTATTGACATTTATATTGTAAAATTAATATTAATACACAATTTACAAAATCGGGTTTTATAAGCAAAGATTGAATATTGAAAAGGGTAATTTTTTGGAATAAAATTTCACTGTTTTCTTCATTTAAGTATACCATGATGATGTACAGATGGATGAAGAGGAAATGTGGTTCACTTTCAAACCGTTGATTGTTTTGTTGTGCGGAATAGGTAATTAAATTTTATTAGCTGTACAATGTTTTTAATGACCAGAGATCTCATCCAAAAACCAGCATTCTCTCCTTGGAAAACATTGAGTTAAGAGGTGCGAGTTGCATGGTTATTTTAGCCTGAATTAAAGTTGAGCTTGATTTTCTCAATTATGAGACCAACAATTAGTATCATGTTACAAAATGGTGGCATGAGGGAGGATTATGATGGTGAATATGATGAAACCAAATCTAACAAGTGATATAAAAAACAATCTGTTTTTTCAGGTTGGTTTGATAACACTAAGACTTTGGAGTTGAGCTTTAGCAATTTGTATAATGTAAATTGAGAGATTGCAAATGATAACATGATATAACAGTTATTGTGATTACTATTCTGTTGCTGTTAATACACTTTATCAGGGTAAACACATAGAAACTGGTGATGAAAACAGCAGTAAATTGGAAGAAAAATGAAGCTAAGAATAAACTTTAGCTTTTTGATGATGAACCGACAATAAGGTTTAGGTAGAATTAGCCAAATTTCTTATAGCAAAAGGTACAAAAGATAAGGATAACTTAGGTGAAACAAGGTAAGATCTATCTTCCATCTCTTTCCTTTCCTTCATCTAAATCTCGTCCATTCTAAACCATCTCAGTATCTAACTTGGGCACTCTCTGGTTCAAAGGTTACAATGAAATGAGAAACTGTTAAAGCATTATCATTGTCATTATTCATTTACACCGGGAGAGGCTGGAAAAGAGAGATAAAAAGTAAGTTCTGAAAGAAGAGATGAAAGAGGAGAGAACGAATTATGTTGAATCATTGCTAAAAATGGAAAAAGAATAGACGGAGTGAAAAAAAGAAAGTAAAATAACGAGAAAGAGGGGAGTTTTTAGTGTAGATGAGATGATAAAAAAGAGAGATGAATTATTAGGAAGATTTGATACTGAAATTGGCGATGGTGATGGCGATCACTACGTTTGTGGTGATGAAAATAATGATATAACAAAAATTTAAAGATGACAATGGCAAAATTGGGTTGCACACTTTAACCAGATGGAAGAAGAAGATCCATTTCCAGCGTATTAGAGGTTCAACCAGAAAAATTTCAACACAAAATCAGATAACTTTAAGGTTGAAAGTAACAATAATGATGATGATAAGAGTTGGGTTTTAAAAGCGATTGTATTTTTTGTCCGGGATCCCATATTTCCGTTTTATCTCGTCAACACGTTTCTGTCTTTCCTCTCGGGCGTAAGCATTATCACGGATAACAGACGCTCTCATGGTTAGATTCTCCTTTTGATTGTCAACTTCCCAACCTGATCTTTTTCTTTGACATCTACAGCAGCAACAGCATGCGATAGCCATTCCTAAAATTACAACACCAGCGACTGAACCCAATGCGATAGCGAGAACATTTGATTTAACCAAACATGTACCGTAAGCTGTTTCCTTTATTGAGGAACAGCCAGAGAAACGTAAACTAAAATCTAAACATTTACTGGTTGGGTAACAGTAGAAGCATTTTTTTGATTTAACACATTCGGCACAACTTGAATTACGACTTTCACAGTTCTCCTTGGCTGAGGATCCATTTTGAGAAGATGATTGGAACACTAAATCACCTGAATTGGATCCATTTAATTTCGATGGTTCCACGTTGGTATCTTCTGGTGATCCGTTCACATGATTAACATTGATCGACAAAATAATAGCGAGTCCAACACAGAGGATGTAAGAGTGTAACAAAAGCTTGGACAGCATGTTGTACACTAAGAACTGAAATGGCTTTAAAATTAACAGTTAATCAATGGACAGCTTTTCATACAAATAGTAAACTAAACTCCAACACTTAGAAGCGTGAAATGAAAATAAATTAACGAGAGAAAAGAAGGAAACTTCCCCCTTCGCAATCTCTCTCTTTCTCTCTTTTCTCTCTTTTTTCCCTCTTTGTCTTCCTCTTTCACAAAATACCACAATTTTTGCTTATCTGCACCAGCTCATCGTTAACTTAATATTTGTTTGCTAATTGAGTTTCTAATCAAACAATTAATCAGACACTTGCACTATTTAACTTCATTTCCATTAATTTTAAACAATTAATCACCTCAAAAATCATTGGTTTAATGTTGAAAATTTGTTACTTCAGGTTTGGTTTACTCAGCTGTTTATTATCCTAATGAAGTTCATTGTTTCCCTTTAATTCTATGGATTTCTAATTGCTAACCATAAAGTTACTTTCTCATCATTGTTGATTAACAATTACATCTTCCTTTATTCATTGTAAGTGAGTAATCAAAATTACGTTTGTTATTATCCTTTGAAAGTCATTTAGAGTCAATTCACAACATTTCTGGTTACATTATTCTGGTTAACTTAATCTCCACCTGAATCTTTGTAATCTAACACTGCGTTTGTTAATTTTTGCATTACTTGATTCGTAGTTAATATGATGCTTGGTAGAAAAAGAAATGTGTTCGTAGTGGATCGAAATTTGTAAGATGAATCTCGCAAGTCCTCATGTATCAATCGTTTTTCAGCTTAACTATTTGTTTAGTTTCAAATTAAGACCAACATGTTAATGGGTTTCTATAATTTGACTAGCCATCCGTCCGACAAGCTAATTATATTGTTATTATATTAAGAATAAGATCGGATTCAAGGCTAACGAAGCTTCTTAGCTTAAACAGTATCATCTAGCAGAATAAATATTGTAAGCAAACTGTTTACATCCATCAGCGAGTTATCAAGAGACAATAGTCCTCATTTTTGCTGATGATACTCAACTAATTAACGTTATCATTCTATTAATAAATAGGCCTGCAGAATAATTAATACATTGTTTAAAAAGAATGGTTGATTGAAGAAGACAATTGCAGCCGCATTATTGGAAATCATTATTTTGCTTCCTAACATGTGTCTATTAAATTAGCTCACTACCAAAGGGTGAAATTGTTTATTGTCAAAGTCATTTGACGAGACAAACTTGAGTAATTAACCAGAATTTCATTGGTAGCGCTATTAAATCGGAGCTTCTACCAGAAAAAATTGTACTTTTTCAATTAAGAATCAGCTTTAATTGGCAATAAGATTTTGCTTATTTCATGATTTACACAGTTTTTTGTACACGGTTTTGATCACTCCACCAAATCAGAATGATTTAATCAACTTCGATTGTAACGATTTCCCCATCCTCTTTTATTATCTGTAGCATGTAAAAAAAGTTAAAATCATTAATCATCAAGCTGAAACGATTTAATTATAATTTTTACCGTCTTTGAATTCATCCCATCCTCTAGCCTTTCTTAAAGCGTCAGCATCTTCCTCGTCATCGGCCTTTTCTTTGGCAGCAGCATCATCTTCATCTTGTTGCTTTTTAAGGTCAGGATTCTGAGCCCAACTCATTAAGCTATTACTTTGCCTGAAAATTAATCAATAGACGTTTTAGATACTTGATCAATATAAAGAATTTCTGTGATCCTACCCTGGTTTTGTTTCAGACAATGAGCCTTCTTGAATCTTGCTTTCGATAAATGCTTCTATAGACATTGTAGGAACACTTGGATATCCTAATCCAAAGACTTGCTTTTGTAATTCGGTTCTCGTTATAATGAACGGTTTGAGAGGCTCTGTTTTGCTTTTGTCTGCAGACTCGAGTTTCTTTCTATCCAGTGGTCCAATCATTTTGAGAATTGCTTTTTCTTTTTTGATGCCATGGATTTCTTCAATTGCAGTTGAGACCCATTTTTTAATTAACAGAATATAATATTCTCTTTTCTGTTCATCAGTGGTTTCATCCTTGTCTAATAAACCTTCGAGAGTTTCTAACTTTTCTTGGGCCTCTTTAAGTCTTCTGAAATTTTCAATCTTAGCTTGTCTTTCTTTTCCCAAAGCTTGGAGATCTGCGATTGAACTCATACCTTTTCTGTCAATATTAACTTTCTCAATAGCTCTTTCAGCATTATTATCATTTTCATTATCACCATCATCTTCAAGTTCATCTAAATCAATACCGATCGGACAGACTTCGTATAATTTTATACGTTTCAGGTAATCTTTGAAATATATATCAGAAATTCTCAGACATTCCATCCTATTTTTGCCTGTTAATTTCGTATGCAGATAACCCAATAGGACAGGAAGAAGTAGATATTTTATAGATGAATTGGGCACATCTTCAATAGCTTCATTATTACTGAATAAGTTCAATTGATTAACCATTTCAGTTGATCGCTCCAGTAGCTTTATTGATTCGGTAACTTTTTTCTAAAATATTGAAGAAAACACAAAACGAGTGAAAAATCGAAAAATCAAATCATCCTATTCATTATTAATGATCAATTAAGCTAAACAAAAACAAAATTGACAACTAACCTGAAAATTAACATCATTTGTTGGTAAATCACTGCCATCCAATTCATTTATAAGCTTAAAAGCTTGATCGAAACAACTGCAAAGGTTGTCAATGTCTGGAGATGATTCATTATCGCCCATGATTATAAAAAACTGATATTTAATCGGATGACAACTAAAAATTTAATGAATTACTGATCTTGAGTTTAAATTGAATTGAGTTTGATTAAAACGTAAATATTATTCATTCGTCTTTATAAAAAGAGCCATATGTTTTACGCATGACTACCATAAAAATACGAAGCGGTTGTTACAAACCATTTATAAGATAACTTTAAAAATTAAGATTATTCAATTATCAATAAAAATTGCTATTCGGACAAACGAATTCAAAATAAGTGAAAAGCTGTAAATAAAGAAAGTCAAAAGCTATATCAATGAACCAACCAAAAGATCGACAGCGATAGAACTGATGAAATCTGTTTGATTACCACACTTCGGAATTGCATTCTCGGATAATTATGAGAGCTACGCAGTTATTCGGTAATCGCCTTCATTATTTCAAAGTATATTGTTAATTCGTTGAAAATAAATCGATTTTTTGTATTTATAGCAATGAATTAGTTGAATTTGGTGTAACTTGAATGACTTGTCAAAGCTTCTAATGAACTGACCCAAGTAGAGATACGTCGGTTACAGGCTAGTTTGGTTAGTATAACCAGTAACTGTGGTTCTTTCACCCCCAGTTACAAATAACCGGTTACTTGCTGGTTACAAATTTCTCACCGCCAAATTCAAAAATAAAAAGTTTGATTTTTCATCTTTTATCAGCGCCATCTATTAATGTATTTAGAAAGTTGTTGTTTACTTTCTTTACTTTCTTTTCAAATTTCCCTCTCAATGTAACCAGCAAGTAACCGGTTATTTTGTAACCGGTTATAGTAACTGGTTATAGTAACCATACTTGGTTACTTTTCTCCCCCCTCTAACCAAGTAACCGGTTACCAGTAACCAACTGGTCTCTAGACCCAAGTTTGGGAATACTGTTTGTATTGAATATTCAATTTAGACTGTGCTCTGAACAATAGTTTACTTTTACATAAATAGATGGCAGCTCTAAAATTAAAAAATCAAAATTTTCTCATGTTTCAATATGAAAACGCAAATGATATTGAAAATGTTTGTTTACTTCGTTAATAACGATCATTTCGAGCTGTGATAAAAAGTTTTGATGTTCTCATTTTGTTTTATTCCGAGTCCATCTCATTTAAATCATGTTTCACTCTTGTACTGGGTCTGTTGTAATCCTAAATGAAGATCAAAGTGTTTTCCTTTTTATGTGGTTTGTTGTTTATTAGCAACTTCGAGACGAAAACTTCGCTTTTCGTAACTAACTTGTGAAAATAATTGATTTTGTTCTATATTTTCTCAGCAATTAAAGCGCCGAGTTCGTTTTTTCAATTTTCTTCTTTGAAAATGGCTTCTTGTCGGTGGATAGCTGTTTCTGTCGAGCTTCAACTTTAATCTTTACTTGACATTCATGTTCGTATGTCATTCATAGACTTATTGTGGGCAATCAGAACTGTAAGAGGTAATATTAGAATACCTAATAGAAATGATTATTATTGAAGAAAATAACTTTTTCTGCTTCAAACGATTTACTAACATTTATTCTTTATTATTTATTCATCTGTTTTTAACTCACTAAGCAGCTTTGGAATTAAAGAACGAAATAGGAAATTTATAAACGATGTTGGATTATTTTAACAAATGGCTTCATTTCTTTGGACATCGTAAACTCTAATTTAATAAATTTGTCAATTTAGCCAATCTGAGCCTACATCTTTGGTTATTACACCAAATATAAACTGGGAACATGGAAGTTTCAACCACCAAGCTTGAAGTTACAGTTTGATAAAACGTTCTTTGCATATCAATCACTCTGCATTTAATTTTCACACACGAGGGAAGTAAACGAAAACCCAATCGAATAACATCTATCTGATCGAAATCGGTTCTAGTTACTTCCCTTATCAGATTAAAGTCTATCAATTCCTATTAGTTGACAGCAAAAAAAGTTATCCAGGTTACTAAAACTCGATTGTAACTCTACAACAGTGTAAAGGCCTATTCTTGAGATAATCCAGCAAGAAAAATATATTAAATGTGAGGGAAAAATAACCAGAACGCTGTTCATCTTTTTGTTTCAAATCCCTGTTAAATTTATCAAGAATCATAGCTCTAAGCCAAGGTGTTGAGTTTGATCAAATCTTTTGAATGAGTAATTATTTTTTAATAGTCACGAAATCAAAAATCACTAATTACAAGCATCATTATGGTCATAAAGAAAGTCGCTCTATCACTTTTGTGGATCAATATTGTTAAAAGAGTTCAACAAAAACGCGGAGCTTTGGAGCAGTGAACAATTTCTAGCATAACCATCAACCCTGACTTGACTATTCCAATGAGTGTAAAGGCAACATATGATTAAGCTTGGGCAGTAAAACTGGCAACCAATGATGATTAAAGGGAAAATAAAGGTTCCATCAAGAGGAAGTGACTTTAGATCTTCTCCAGATATTTCTTAATAGAGAAAGAAAACATGAGGAAGAAAATAAAGCGAGAAAAGTAAGAGAAAATACATGAGAGGTTTTAAAGACTCACAAGAAAATGCAGTTGTGTGAAAGTTTTGTCTACAATGTGATGCAAAAATGACCTTATATTTCAAGAGTCAACTGTTTATTTCAACTTTTCTCTCTTTTCCCTTGTTGGGAAAATTTGTTTTGTATTTCACACAAGCTGATTGCGGGACCTTTTCAATCAACTCTGCTTCATTCTGCTTCAGCTTTAAGTTTTTGTTTCTTCACGCGTAACACGTTTCATCTTTTATTCAGTTTCATGTTGACGAAATAACTGCTGATAGTAATGTTTTATCATTTGTAAACATTTATAAGGCAATGATCTTTAATCAATCAAACAATGTTTAATAGTAACAATCTTTATTCCTGAGTGGAAATTTAACTTGTCTTAATGTTTAAACATTTCAATACCTTTGTTTTTGCTTGCCTGTTTCAAGTGGATTCAATGGTCTCAATATTTGATTGTTAAAGGAAAAGTGTAATTGATATAAATAAGAATAAGTTGTTTATTAGAAATGTTTTTCATTATAAGGTAAGATTTTTTGTTTTTTAAAACCTGAGTACAATTTAAAATGAGTTGAAGGTATGAACATAGACAACATTAAAAATTGACTTTTCATAATCAGCATTTTATTAAATTATTGAAGATATGCTTATAATAAACATTATCTAGATTATAAACATCACTTCGTCATTTTTTTACATTAAACACTTCGTCATTGTTTATTTTATTAAAAAAGCATTGGATTAGATTAGTGCTTTTGTTTTCAAGTGAAGAAAAAAATGATGTAAACAAAACTGATAGTAAACTTGGAATTACTATTATTATGAACACTGTTGACATCGTTAATATCAAATCCAAAGCAATGTCGGTTAAAAATGATTAAACGATCGAACTGTCAGTTCTGTTTTTACACCTTAATAAATAATCGTAAAAATCATCGTGCATGGAGTTGAAAATCGTCGAAAACTTCCATCAACTCTTCAATTTTATATTCCTCTAAAATTACAAAATCCTCCAAATTTGGGCTTGCTTTACGAGCACAATCAACACAGTGAACAACATGCTTTTTGTCCATTTCACGAACGAAAAGAATATTAAATACTTCAACCTGGAACAATTTAAGTGGAACAAAAGAGGGAGAGAAAATGTTATTAGTAAAATAGAGTAAAAACTAATTAAGAGGTTTAGGTCTTTGAGGTATTAAGAATTGTTTCTACTCACTTCACAATTAACACAATAATGAGCTGCTTCATTTTTACTACGTCCATGCCATCTTATTTCACGGCCACAAGCTTCCACAAAATCCATTATCATTTGACAACATTTTAATGATCGTAATAAGCAGATTCTGTGTTGAGAAGAGTAGAAAAAAAGCAGAAAATATGGTAATTAGATAACTAGATAACTAGATAATTGCCACAACAGGATGATTAAGTATTATGTGTAGCCACAGATAATGACTTCATCAAGGTTTCAACTGAAGTGACAAGGGTAAGTAATCAACCAATTAATAAATTAAATTACTTCATCTTTTTAAACAATTCTTTCTCTGAAACTTTGAGATTTTTTGCGAGATTCCAGGTGAGATGGATAACAGGTACAATGGACTTGAAATTTTCCAATTTATTCCATTCATAACGTTCAACAGCAAGTTGATACTGAACTGAAGTAAGAGGACCAACATTCCAGGCAATATTATTACACCAGCCAACAGCTTGAACCCAATGAACAGTTCCCGCATTAACCCAAACCATATCTCCTGGACGCTGAAGGAAACGATAAACAGGAATATTTTCAGCAAAAAGATCCTCTAAAATGGGCCACCAAGAACCATGTAAGTAACTTAAATTATTCCTAAAAAGGGAAAGAAGAGAAAAGGTCAAAGTTAATGAATAAAACAATACAAATAATAAACTCATTGTAAAATGATACTAATGAGAACAAAATATTTACTTTTGACAGAGACTATTTATAGCACCCCAATACTCTTCAGGAACTCCAAACCATTCGCAGTCTCCAGGACCAATGTTAATATTAACAGAACAAAAATTATTATTCTCTTGATGACCCGGAGTCCGGCAACCAGGTACTTTCATATACAATTGAACCGTATTCATGCCTAAAATTACATGACCTACATGACTAAGCATGTTACCAGCTGAAACTACCCGCGCAAATGCTGGTAATTTCATGAGTTCTTGTAACTGAGGACGCCATTTTTTATCATCCGAAAGGTCAACATTGGTTCCAAATTTGATTGTCTTAAAAGGTCGTGTTTTCTTTCCACGTCGCATTTTTGAGGTAGCTGATGAATTTGAATCACTATCAGAGTCTCTCAATATACCCGGAGTTTTATCTTGTTCATCTCTCAATGATTCTTGGAATGAAGAAGCTTGGTAATGAGCATAGCGTGCAATTGTCATATGTGAACGATGACTTTCACATCTCCAAACCATTTGACGCTTTTCTGGGTCCCAATTTTCATCTGATAATTGCAACAATTGAGTACGAACTTCAATTAAATGATCTGGATTGGCTTCCACAAGAGTTTTCGTTGAGAATAATCCAAGATCTAATTTTAAAACACTTGCAAGACCACGAACGACGGCAATTGGATGTGCCAGACAAAATTCCTGGAGTTGCGTTGAGAAGGCATCTTTCTTATTTTCAAGCTATTTGAATAGAGGAAAAAATTGATAAAATAAATATATTAGTTCAAGTGAAATATTAAACAATGGTGATTGTTTTCAGCTTTATCTAAGATTAATTGTATTATAAATAAATTATGCAATGAAACTTCAAAGCCAAAGCAAAATTATAATAGCAAATAATGAGAGTAACTTTCCAGAACAAGGTTAGTATTATAATTTATATCAACATAGTGAAAAAATCTTTCTATTTGTCTTGTTAACTATTGATAAAAATAAAATGGATCAAGTACAAGGCAATAGACTGAGGTGACAATGTACTGACTAATAATATTCACAGTTTTCAACACATATTAACATTAAACAGAGTAACTTTCAAGTAACAAAACTCTAATAGAACAATGTAAATTATTTTAATCATTATGTTACCAAGTTTCCATAAGTCAAAGTATGATGATAATAATTCAAAGATTATTCACTTAAAAGTTCAGTCATTACGAAATTGAAAAGGATATAAAAAATTCAATATATAAAGGAAGATGTTGAATTATTCTAAAAGTTGAAAAACATTATTGGTAGGAAGAGAAAGTTTAAAAAGTCAAAATTTCAATAAACTCACAAAAACACTAGGAGTTTGAGGTAATAATTTATCTTTGGGCAGTGGTGGGTATGGTGCTTCAATGGGAGACGGAGGGCGAGGATCGTCCGATAATAAATTGGAATCAATTCTTCCAGATCGACCATAACCTTTGCATGCTTCTAAAGCACGAGATGCAGTCATGTCGATTGATAAACGAATAGGCTGAGAATAATTTGAATTGTGACTTGAGTTTGAAAAATGATCCCATTTATTATTTGTAGATGAACGAGAGTGGTGAATTGAGCTTTCATTGGTTGATGAATCAATATCACTTGAGGATGAATTTCTTCGGTTTACGACACAATTTGAATTGGCAGTGAGAGTTTGAGTTTGACAGGAGATCGAATCAATTTCTTTCTTATTACTACTACTGTTTATATTATTATTTAAAGGTGTGGTTCGGTGTTTACCATTTAAACCAAATTCAGCGATTAAATTTTCAGCTATAGAAATCGTAGCTGAGTTCTTAGGCGCTAAAAGTGCACGTAAATCATTTTCACTGAGACCCAAGGACGGTGTTAATGGGATTGATGAAGTAGTAGTGGTAGTTGTATTAGTTGAGGTATCACTATTGAAGGCAGTGTCCATTTTTATTGGTGAATTTGTATCGCCACCAGTTAAATTACTATTTGAATTATTCTGATTTGCACTATTACAACCACTTTTATTATCTAAATCACTGTGAGTTCTATTGGTTAAGGTTGAATTGTTATTGGTGGGACTGGTGGTGTTATTTAAGTTAATTTGACCAGTAGGACAATCTGGACCACTAGATAAAGGCCTTGATGGATTGTTGTTGCTTAAACTAGAATCACTGTTGTAATTTATATGGTTGTTGTTGTTATTGTTATTATTATTAATGTTGGCACCAATGTTACCAGAAGCTAGTGAAGAATCATTAACTTTATCTGGTTGTGATTGATTTTGTTGCGGTTTATATGATACTTGTGAAGTGAATAGTCTGTATTGGTGTTGTAATTGGGCGAGTAAAGCTTTATCCTGAGGTTGAAGTGAATTTTGATTTTTTTGTAAATAATTCATTAACGATATTTGCTGAGCAGTCATAGTAACACTATTGGCAGTGGGTCCAGAAAAGGGTACATCTCCTGAATTATTTGGTGGGTAACCTTCAGGCTTTTTAATAGAGTTTGTTGATTCCATTCGCTGGCGTTTACTTTGATTTAAAGTGTGATGAGGATCATAAGCTGAAAATATGGTGGAGAAAAAAGAACAGAACGAGATAAATAAAAAAGAAAATCAATAAAAGAGAAGCAGAGTAAAGTATAATTTCAAGTGATTAATAAGAATAGTTAAAAATGAAATGTTACATAATAATCATCTCTAAATTAAGCAAACAGAAAATTCATGTGAGTTAAATTGAAATATACTGATTTATGTTAGTTGATAAAAAAAAGAGAGACAAAATAGTGAATAAAACATACCTGATGAAATATCTTGATTAGGTCTTTGAACTGAGTTTTGTCTTGTTGCTATTTCTTGAGATGAAATTGGTAAATTCCAAGCGTTTTCGATGGATAATAACCGCTGGAGGCTAATTTATCATTAAGATTGAAAGTAAAATAAGGCAACAAAGGCCAATAATATGGGAAAGAAATGTTAAGAAAATATGATATTAGACTTTTGGATGAAATTTTCTCAAAATAAAGAGAGGTTCATTATTTGAAGGTCGGGCAAGTCCTCTCACTAACTTTACCAGAACACTAGGAGAGGAAGTGCGAAAGCAAGAGAGAAAGAAGATGAAAAGGGGAGACAGAGAGAGGGGAAGTAAGTTGAAGAAAAGGAAGAAAGGATTTGGAGGAGGGTAAGAAAGAGAGAATGGGAGATGGGAGGGAAGGAGGGAGAGAGATGGGTAGAGAGTGGGATGGGGGAGAAGGTTCATCACGGTTCAAACAGGCCCATTACAGCTTTTTAAGCTAACAAACATTAAAACCCTAAGGTTCAATTAAATTTGAAACAAAACTTTCTCTCTCAATATTTATCATTTTGGTAGATTCAATGGTCCAAGAATCAATTGACTGATTCTTCAAAATCTTATCAAGATGGTAAAATGGACAACCATAGATTAGAAATGATGAAAAACTTGAAACTGCAGTAGAAGTGTATGAAGTGTATTTAGAAAAAATATTCAAAATAAAAGCTTAATCCTGTGTAAACCGTGATTTGTTAAGAGGGGAGCACAAAAGTTAAACATTTTATATAAAAAGGGCAAGAAACATAGGAGTTGAATTGAGGTTAGTGGAGATGGAGAGGAATAAAAGATGAAAATAAAGAAAAGAAGTGAAAGAAGGAAAGGAAAGAAGTTGGGAGAGCATGAACACAGGGAGAAAGAGAAAAAGAAGAGTAAATTGCAATCCAGAGGGTTCGTCATCTGTCTTAATAGTACCTTTGTGAATTATTTGGAGGAGCGTTGGCAAGTTGATTTTGTAAAAATTTGATTCGCTCATTGAGAGTAGAACTCACTGACCCTGATAAATATAAAAAAGATGAGGAAGATTTTGTTGGTTGATGGGAAAAAAAAGAAATGAGAAATAAAATTTTAGATGAATTGAGGAAGAATCAAAGAAGGTCAATGTTGATCATTAAAAAACTTTGTTGTTATATTTGAGATGATGGTGCATTTGGATAACTGAGAATTGTGTGTATTAAAAGATTCATTAGCTTCAAATCATAACTGAAAGTTGATTGAAAAAGCTGGTAATCCTTTTAAAAGATTTAACGTTGCTATTGATGGTATTCACAAACGGATGGAATAAATTTTATATTGAATCAATCATTTAAATCATTGAATCAAACAGCTGAACAATATTTCCTTGACTTTTTGTAACGTTGAACCAAAGCACCATCATCATCATTATCATTATTATTAATGTTTTCGACATTAATATAATTAGTAGCACAATTACCTCGTCCTTTTATTGCATTCATAAAACATTTAAGAGCGTCTTGAGGTTGGTTAACACTCTCATAAAGGATACCAAGATTTGTCCAAGCTGTGGTGTGACTTTTATCTATTTGAACTGAACAGATATATGCTTGAAGAGCGTCTATCAACTGATTTTGCTGCTGATAAAGAACCCTGATGGAAAGTAGAAAAAAAATAAAATGAGAATTAAAACATTTCAATGATATTAGATACTAACAAGTGTAATGTACATGTGTGTGAATATTAAACATTGTATATGACTGTCAAAATAAATACAGACAACCATACACAATCACACACAAGACAGATTTACACAACAAAAGGAGGAACAGTTTGAAAAATGGTGAACTGAAAGAGTTCAACTTGAATCAAAACTAACCCTATTGAGCACCATGTATCAGCATCAAGATCATTTTTATCAACACATGCTCTGTAAGATTTAAATGCTTCATGTACATGACCTAGACTTGAGTAACATCGACCAAGAAAATAGGAACTTTGTCTTGAACTAAATTCTCCTTTTGACGCTGATTCCAGATAACTTATGGCCAATGATTGCCTTGTATGTTTATCACCAAATGAATCCACAATATGGTACATCCATCCTAATTGCTTTTGCACATCAGACCTTAATTCACCGGTTACAGTTTTATCCGATAATAATTTTTCATAACATTCTTTAGCTAATTTATGTTTCCCTTGGACTTCATATAAATGAGCAATATGAAATTTAACTATATTGAATAAATTGATATTGAAAAAGGGGAGAGAATAAGTAAAAAGACAAAAAAAGACAAAAATAAGATGAAAATCGATAAAAAGTTAAATTTTTCAACCAGTTTCCAGATAAGAAGGAAAATATTGAAATTTGTTTTGACTATGATATCAAAAGGGTTATGACGAGGCTATGAGATAAGTTAAACTTACTTTGAACTTTACTAAGAGTTGATGGACGACTATCGGCCAAGGCAATTTGAAAATGCTGAATTAATACAAATTTTATGGAGAGAAAAAAAATGATGAGAATAAAGTTTATAAAAAAAGGTGATTTGATGACTGTAACTCACTTTAAGAGATGAATTATAATCACATAAAATCTTAAAAATTACTCCTAATCTAATATGTAGTTCATTGGATGGATAAAAAGATGGATTAAAATAAAGTATTTGGCGGAATGCTTTGATGGCCCTGTAAAAATGAGAATAAAATAATAAAGTAAAAAAATAGGAAAGAAAAAAGAGAAGAGTTTTCGGTTAGTTGAACGTACAAAGATGGTTAAAACAATGATGGTGATGATGATGATTAGCAGTAGCAAAGGAAGAAGTGATGGTTTACAGCAGCGATATCGGTTAAGTGCAGTAACTTAAGTGCATATCACTGATAACTCATAAGACAACTATTGATTGCTACAGCAATAATAATAAACACCGAAAAAGTAGCAACAGTCACAGTAACAAAATTGAAAGCCAACATTGACCATTATAAAAAAACCAGTACTTGGTTACTTTTCACAAAGATAGATTTCCCTTTTATCATCCTTATCTTCCTTCATTTTACAGGGTGGCAAGAAAGTTATGTTCAAGAGGTTGAACTTAAACTGCTCAACATCAAATGACGTTGAATGTAAACAATGGAGAAGTGGTTGATGCGCACCGGTGGGGGTTGCTTTTCCTAACAACATTTCTTGTCACCCTGTAAACAGATCAAACATACAAAGAGAGAGAAAGCAAATGGGACAATAGAGTGAAAGAGAGAGAGAGAAAGAGATCAAGAAACTTTTCTAACCACTAGCGATCTCTGTTGACGTTACTTTAAATCAGCCCATGTGATTACGATGACATCTCTTGTTAGGAAAGAGTACTTGCCACTTGCCTATTGTAAGATTTCTCGCTTTTGTAAACAATTATAGTAAACAAGGTTTTTTTGCTAACATTTAAAAAGTGACACAGGTCAAAGGGTCTGAGAAGAGAGCGCGAGATTTACGTGGGTCAAGATGACATTGGATAAATTATAGATTGAACCAAATTTATTAGACTGGATCAAAAATAAGATTGAAATATTATTCAATTACAAGACGACATAAACTGATGAAAGTATTAATTTTCAAAGTAAACCTTATTGAAATGTATTAATTTCAATCATTTTGAAAACTATTCTCGATCTTATGAAATGGAAAATCGTAGCTTAGTCGTAATTTGAAACTTTTGTAACGATACGCAATTGTGGAAAATAACGTAAATGCATTTTTTATCGTGATACAAGCTATTAAGATAGTAATGATGATACGATATTTTAAGGAATATGGCTGGAAATCTCTGAACCTAACTTGCAAATTTTCATGTTGGCATTTTCAAGTTACTGAGTTGCTAATGAAAGTTGTCAAATAAAAAAGTGTATAATCTTACCAGCGATATGCATTGTAATGGAAATAAACTAATCCCAAACCATAGAGAGCTTCCAGATTTTGGTAGTTGTCATAATTGATTTGATAATACCGTTGGTACGCTGACATAGCTTTCGGATAGTTTTTTAACAGTAAATGATAATGTCCAAGCTTTGCATATACTCTGGAATCGATCGTGTTACTAGTTGAACCATCGTCGGTATCACCATCTCTCGTCAAACTGGTTTTAATGAATGATTCCAAGGCTTCAATACCTTTATTTAACAAAGCCTCTAATTTACTATTGCTTGGAACATCAACAAAACCATAATCAGTTGAATCGATAGATGAGAGGATTGCGATTTCATCCTTTGTTAGGCCCATCTTCTACCTAACTTTGATGATTCCTGATATGATTGACTATGATGATTTTACTCCAAATTGAATGACAAATTTCCAATTTTTCAATGAACAATAATAAATAAAGTTAATCACGCTGAAAGCTTTCTATGTAAGCATTATTTTACTAAGGTTTGTTTGACAGTTGGTGTCTCCATCTGTATAGAAACCATTGAGCGCGCTGTTCAAGCTCCAACTAAACTCTAGGATTTTTCAATAACAGAAATGAATTTGCTTCTGATAGATGACAATTTAAATTCAAATAAAATGATTAGATTTTATTTATTTTCCTTATTTCCAGAATAAACCAATTATCGCTTTAAATACTCGATTAAGAACCCAATTTACGGAGATTTCGCTGCATCTATTTATAGCAAGTTGTTAAATAGCAAATACAATTGTGAGAAGAAACCTGAAAGAAAGTAAAAGAAATGGTTTATTGCTGGACGGATGAGTTTTATGGAATAGCAATTGATTAATTCTTGTAATTATCATGATTCGTAATGTTCATGTCACTTCACAATGTAAACTTTACGATGTTGAGTTAAAATTAAGTTTGCTTTAACATCATTAGATGGCAGATGCGTTAAAATTCAAACAAGGAAACAGTGGCGCCTTATAAGCTTTCACAATAAAGATTGGATTTTTGTTTTGAAAGCTTGAATGAAAAGATATAAGCATTTGAAATAAGCTTGTTGAAACGGATTGAAAATCCTCTCCTGGATTCTTTTAATTATTTTTTATTTATGTTTTTTAATTATCAGGTTTCAATTTATGATCAAATTATGGTTCATTGTTATCCTGATCTATCATGTGATTCCATTTTAGAGTGATTTTTTCTCTTTTTTTATGTGTTGTGCTGCTTTGGATTACCTTCTAAAAAAACAACTTTAAATTTGATTGGATGTTGGTTTTTTAAAGTCCACAGTAACCTTGTTTTTATTTTAGCCAATTAAATTAATAATCTATAACCATGCAACTAACTAATGGAAATGTAAGTGATCTTACTCCAGCTGAACAGCAACTATTAGCCCGCATTCGACGCCGTAAAGCTGAACTGTTGAATGAGATTAAACAATTGAAAGATGAGATTGCTGTTGTAACGTCCGAAATGGCTAAACTAGAGTCTCAGGATGAGGCTAAAATTACAACTAGGCAGAAGCAATTGTCCATTGGCAAGAAGCGTTTTAACATGGATCCAAAGAAAGGAATCGAATACCTTATTGAAAATAATTTGTTGAAAAACACTCCAGAGGATGTTGCTTCATTTTTATTTAAAGGTGAAGGCCTCAACAAGACTTCAATCGGCGAATATCTCGGTGAAAAGGTCGATTTCAATTTAAAAGTTCTGGATGCCTTCATCAATTTACATGATTTCACCAATTTACTCTTGGTTCAAGCACTGAGACAATTTTTATGGAGTTTTAGACTGCCCGGAGAAGCTCAAAAAATTGACAGGATGATGGAAAAATTTGCTGCTCGTTACTGTCAACAAAATCCAGGAGTATTTTCTAATGCTGATACTTGTTATGTTCTTAGTTTTGCTATTATAATGTTAAACACTGCTTTACACAATCCAAATGTTAAAGAAAAACCCACTGTAGAAAATTTTATTTCTATGAACAGAGGAATCAACAATGGTAAAGATCTATCTAGGGAGTTGCTGGTTTCTCTATACGAGAGTATAAAACAAGAACCCTTTAAAATACCCGAGAATGATTCCAATGATCTCATGAATACAGTTGTTTTCAATCCAGATAAAGAAGGTACTGTTTCAATTTTCTCTTACTATGTTTGCCTCTTTTTCCTTTTGCTCAATCTTTCCTTTTTTTATACCTGAAGTAAGAAAGATAGATGAGTATAGAAAGGTGAAGATGCGGATGTTGATGTTGATGTTGATATTTCATGCTCAGACTGATTGTAGATGATCAGGTTCCTAAGAGATGATGAGGATGATTATGGTGAGAAAGCGGAAGAAAAACACTTTTTTCCTACCTTAAATTAATGCTTATTAATAATTTCCTTTCTGTCAAACCTTGTGGTTGACCTGAAATATTGCCTTTTTCATTGAAGTTTCATCTGACATTTGTTGTTAATAATAACCTTGAACTCATTTTTGACTCCTTCTATTCTACTTTTACTCATACTCTTTCTGTTTCACCTACATAGATGTTTACCTTTTTTTGAATCATTTTTTAACTAATTTTGGTTTCTTTTTTTATCATTTTTGTACTTTAAAGGCTGGCTTTGGAAGCAAGGAGGAAGGTATAAAACTTGGAAACGGCGTTGGTTCATTTTAAATGACAAATGTCTCTATTATTTTGAATATACAACTGATAAAGAGCCTCGAGGAATCATTCCATTGGAAAATGTACAAGTTCGTGAAATCCAAGACAGAGGAAAACCAAACTGTTTTGAACTATACTCCGCATTAGGACAAAATGAAGTAATTAAAGCCTGTAAAACAGATAGCGAAGGACGTGTTATGGAAGGTAGGCATACAGTTTATCGTATGTCTGCTTCAACTAAGGAGGAGAAAGATATTTGGGTTAAATGTATACGACAGAGCATTAGTCACAATCCTTATTTTGATATGTTAGCAGCTCGTAAAAAGAAAGCTCAATATCATTAGTATCGTTATAGTTCATAAAAGGGAATTATTTTATATCCACTTTTGCTCGAAAAGATGGTGATAAAAGAGTTTTAACTACTTGGAATACGAAAAAGCGAACAGTGTTTATTTTGCTGAGAATCAATGCTGAGTGCGTTTTTTATTATGTATACATAATATTTTTGAAAAATAACACTTTGAAGATCAATAGATGGAACATTGTCACCATAATCAACCCACCATCTAATCTCACTTGACTATTCCAATGACTGTGAAAGCAACTTTTTTATGATAAAGATTGGACGGAAAACAGGCAACCAATGATGATTAAGGAAAAAAAAACTTCATCAAGAGGAAGTGACTTGAAATCATCATCAGATATGTATATATATATTTATAAAAGAGAGAGAAAGAGAATGAAGTGAGAAAATTTATGAGAGGTTATAAACTCACAAGAGACTGTAGTTGTGTGAAAGTTTTGTCTACAATATGATGTAAAAATAAATGCTACTCTAAACTTAGATTTCAAGAATCAACTCTGTCTCTATCAGTTTTTCCTTCTTTTCCCCTGGAAATGCTGAGAAAATTTATTTATTATTTCACACAACTAGATGAACGCAGAGCCTTTTTAATCAACTCTAAAACTATTACTATTATATTTTATTCTTATTACTGTAAAGCTATTTTTTGTTTCTTCACGCGTAACACTTTTCATCACAGTTCCAAGCTGATATTATCACTGATAAACATTTATAAGGCAATGATCCTTGATCAATTCAACAATGTTTAAAGGTAAAATCCATTCGCTGAGTGGAAAATTTAACGCTTAATGTTTAAACATTTTATGATGGCTTTTTTGCTAAACTGTTTCACTTGCAAGTGGTTATGATGGTAAAGCATTTAATTGTTAATGAAGAGCGTATCAGTTATTGATATAAATAAGAATAAGTTGTTTATTAGAAATGTTTTAAGGTAAGATTTTTTTTATAAAACCTGAGTACAATTTAAAATGAATTGAAGGTATGAACATAGACAACATTAGAAATTGACTTATCATAATCAGTATTTTATTAAATTATTGAAGAAAGATATGTTAATAAACATTCTCTTGATTATAAACATCATTTATCATTTTTTACATTAAACACTTCGTCATTGTTTATCTTGTTAACAGCATTGAATTAGATGGGTGCTTTTATGTGTTTTCAAGTGAAGCGAGTGATTCATGTAAACAAACTGATTGTAAACTCAGAATTACTATTATTATAATCACTGTTGACATCGTTACTATCAAATCCAAGCTATGTCAATCAAAAAATGATTCTTTTCAATTTACATCAATACAACACAATAGACGAAACAAGGTCACAATTGTGTAATCTTGATGTTATATCACTTTTTTCAAGTCAATACGATAACTATAAGTAGGTTAAGAAAAATAACCTCTAATATTGATTATGCGAAATTTTTGAGGCTCCACCATCTTCAGCACTTTGATTATGATAGTACCATTTTTGCTGGTTTTGATACTGTCTTGGACGTGGTTGGTACTGATTTTGGAATCTATTAGATCTTTGTTGACTGTCATTTCTAGGTTGTTGACGAGTAGATGTTGGCCGCTGTGACCGATCATTTTTGTAGTAGTTATGTTGGTAATTGGTGCGATTTGGATTGCGATGATGATGTTTGTTTTGGACATGTCCAAATCCATTAAGATTGGGTTCCACGAATGATCTATGACTTCCATCTCCGTGAGGATTCTTTATAGCAGGAGCTGGCCAAGCTATATTGTATGGATTCTTTTTATCGTCCTTTTTCTCACTGGATTCAGATGTCTCCGGATATTCATAATAATACTTATAATCCTCCTCGCATGGTATACTAATACCAGTTTCAGCGGCAACTTCTTCATCACTGCAACCACGAGCATACAACATTGTTGCGGCAAAGGGTAGATATCTTCTTATAGCGCCAAAGGATGATCCATTACTACTATTGTATATGCTCTCGTATGTTTTCTCGTCAATTAAGCTTTTGAGTTTAAAGTAGATTCTAATAAGTGCGTACACGTCAAATGCAGCATAGTATGTCAATAATTCAGTGAGAGGTCTAGTTGTCCACAACTCAGGATTACTGATGTACTTTTTCTTTATGTCCTTTTTCATTCGGTTGGTTACTTCTCCCACATAAAATTCGTATAGATAATACAAGTCTGACTTTGTTCCTTCATGAAGCTGTCGATGAGCAATCACTGTATCAAATACTGAATGGAGGACAATTTTATAATGGTTGTAAAGCGCTCCTGCATCGCTCGAACATCCTTGAAAGATTTTGGTTATGTGCTTGGCAGCCAGAATTTTTCTTAATGACAACGCTGCCAAACGTTCGTCATGTTGGACGTCAAAAAGATATATTCTAATAGAATTGGCAACATCCTGATCGGTGAAATTAGGAGGCAAGTCCTCAACGAACGCCAATTGTACTAAAAAATGAAAAAATTAGAATAGAATCAGTCTCTTGAATTTCATGAAAAAAATATGACAAAAAATGAACTTACTCAGAGTGATATATCCATTAGGCGCACCTAAATTTACCCCTTCACAATCTACAGCTACAACATCTTTGGTGTTCAATATGTAGTCAATAATGGGGTGACTATCATGATAGTTTCTTACGAGATTAGTTCGTTCTAGTACCCTATTATCAAGGTAGTATTCGTCGCACTTTAACAGCGGTCGCCTTTGAGCTTGAGCTTGGTCAAATACATGTTTCAAAGCCACTGTTTCGTTATCGAGTAGAGTAAAAACTGAACTTTTTTTACGCAAAAAGTTATAAAAGCGCCCATAATCATTATGGAAATATGACTTAATGTCATAAGCAGCTTGCTGCAGATTTCCCATTAGCTTGGAAATGGGAATTTGACAAGGTCCATACTGGTTGCACCGGAAAATAAGGAATTCTGTTAGCCTGGAATCTAATGTTGATTCTATCTTTTCATCAATATCTTCTGACATGGGTCGAAGGCTTATATCCCGATCTTTCACGGAAAATAGGGAAGGGTGTTGCCATATGAATGCTAGCACTCTCTCTTCCACGGAATCACCGGAAGCGACTTTCTTCAGAGGTTTAGTGTTACCTCTTTTGCATAGTTCCGTGGCAAGCTTGGAAAGCTCCATTGAACGGACATCTTGTAGAATAGAAATAAGATACATAATAGTTTCATGTATATATTGTTCGCTGTCAAACGAAGGATACGGTCTGCGATTTTCCATATAAGCTCCTGTTGGTTTGTCTCCTCTTCTGTATTGGCTATACATATTCTCTATATTTTAGAGATAAGCTCGGTGTCCAGCAAAAATAGCTTTAGTTTAAAAATATTGGAAGATAATAGATATTCTGTGGGTAGAATGAAAAGAATGAACAGGTTGGTTAGATAAATTCAACAAAGCGATTCAATTTGGAAAATTGAAATGACTAGTGGCAAGAGACTTACATGAGATGAGGGAACGATAGTAAGAGAAATCCGGCCTCGCGAAGACTATTGTAAAATCACTAAAACAGATGTAGGTCCAAGGAAATCACAAACACTTTAAAATTTTGACAACTATATCACACAGTATAACAAGAAGAGAAACACGAGATTCCCGGATAGTGAGAATGATTAATAAATAAAGCAAAAGTATGTATTAGTTTGTTTTGTTAGATGCAGAGGGAGCAAAGAACTTTGAGTAGGGTTTTCAAATTCAGTTGAAATAAAAGTCGATGTGACTCGATTGAGAACAGAAATAAGAATGAATCTGAAATGGACAAGTTATTTATACACCTAGATTTTAGGAGCGAAACTGGTCTTCCAGAATTCCAGCTTATCTCTGAGTCATATTTTGTCCAGATAATATGTTTAACTAGGATTATAAGCAGCTTCGAAGCTAAGGAGTTTATGCAGGAAAACTGATTTTCGAGTTGGGACTTTATTGGTATGTAGGGGCATAAAAACCGGTTTCATTAGGGATATAAGCGTTTCTACGACCAACATTTAGTGCAAACAGCACCTAGTTATTTTAAGTAGCTTTATAGTGAGTAATTCACGAGTTAATCTGGTTAAATTTTAAGAAACATGAAATAGATTTTGTCCAAAAATTACATTTATTGTCCCTTAAATTACAATTTAAATGTAGAAATTAATAGATTTTCCCGAATATCTCTAATAGAGAAATAAATTGTATTGAAAGGAAATTGATAAAAGTAATAATAAATAATATAATTATAAAATCTCATTGAGACATTCAATTAAGTTAAACATTTGACTGTTAATCATCATTGAGATTAACACAATTTTCTTTCTCGATTGAAATGAAACTAGATCAGTCCATTCATCCCAATCTGGAAGTTACATAAATAACATTAATAAATGTTTACCAAAAAAACAAGGTCAATATTTTCCATTGTCCATTATGATTGTTTCAGTTGATTAGTTAAAATTTGTTAACCTATGACCCTGGAGAGACAGAAAAATATTGTTAAATTAAACCTTGTTTACAACGACCCGCAAATACAATGGTGATTGTAAATTTGTAAATCAAAATTGTCTAAAAAATAATGCACTTTTCATTTTGTAGTTATTAATAAATAATAAGTAGTTGGTGACGAATGAAGTAAGGTGGGATTGCCGTTGAGATGTAAGTAAATGACCATGATATTGATGACGATAATGATGATGAAGATGAGGGTGAAAAGGGCGATGTTTATAATTAACTTTCAAGATGAAGGTAAAGGATGTTGATTGTCTTCGCAGAGTTGACAATTGTTTCAGACAACATAAATTCACCTCCATCCTAACTACTTACTAAAGTATTAAAAATGACTTGATTAATTACCAGGTTGCTAATTACTCTGATTAGTCAGTTAATTGAATGATTAAGATGGTAATGATGACAAAGAGTTATGTTGATGATGGAAAGATTAAACGGCGATAATGAAATGAAAAAGCTGCTCATAATGAAGCGGCCTTTAATGATGATGATGCCGTTGCTGCTGATGGTAATAATAAAAAAGAGCAAGTTGATTAAGTGTTTCTACTTTCTCTTATGAAGCCAACGATAAATATTATTATGTGAAAAATAAGGTCCAATGGAATGTAAATTAGGTCGATGTTGGGAATATTGTTGATTCTGAATTTGTTGGTTCATGTTAGGACGGTTCATGTTATGTTGAGTTATTTCATTGTGATTTTGAGTTGATTCACCAGGAGATGAGTTAGATAATGAGGAAGAAGAAGAAACGGATGAGCTAGATGATGAAGATGACGATGACGATGATGAACCGACAAGTTGTGGGAAATGAGAAGATACAATAGGACCAGATCCACCACAGTTTCGTTCATCACTGTTATCCTTACAATCGTCTTGACCATCGCATAGCCAAATGTTAGGAATGCAAATACCATTGTTACATTTGAAATCACCTCGAGTACATTCTAATAAAAGAAAAGGTAAGACATTAGTTAACATAAATAGTCCAGAAATAAAGAGAATAATTGAAATAAAACAAAAAGGGTTTCATCTGAGGTTGAACGCATGTATAATGGGAAATATCAGGTGAAAATCAGTTTGAAGAGAGACAATCAAAAATATTTGAAAATTATATTGGATTAGCCTTCTTCAATTTTTTATGGTTTTACTTTTATACTCATTTAGCTTCCTTTCAAACCCAATGATTAACTTTAATGCTCATCTAAAGTATAATAAATATCAAACATTTTACAGTTAAATTATTTTTTTTCAGATGAATCTTAATTTTATACCTTTTTTGTTATCTCACATTCTTCAATCAAATTGATGTTTATTATGATTTTAATTACTATTAAGATTCACTAAAGGTAGGGGTAAAAAAGCATCCTGCCAGCAACAAAAAACAGAGTCAAAGGCATCATCATCATTGACGTTTACAGCCTAAAGGTATAAACATTTCATTCCTCATTCTCAGCTTTTCAATGGCTTTTTTTATCTTCAAAATCATCTTTTCCTTCCTCCCTCCTCATCTTGATCAACTGGACCCTTAACTCTTTCCTACTACAATTATGATTACTACTATTCTCCCGGCTCTTTACCAACCCATGAGTTGAATGAAGATGAGCAAGAATGAAAATTTGCCCAAAATACAGCGTTACATGTGAATGCACATAAATGTACATAAATGTAACCCTTTTTGTTCCTTTATCAATTAAAATCTTTATCTATCTCAGGTTCTGTCCAGTGAGAGTTAGATCACCTTTTTGGGTACAACCAACTTCATCGCTTCCGTCTCTACACTCAGCTTTACCATCACAAACCCATCTTTTAGGTATGCAACCAGCTCCGTCGGCACATTTAAACCTATCTGGACCACAGCCTGGTTTATAAGAGCAATTGGCTTCATCAGCACCGTCCATACAATCCCGATCACCATCACATCGCCAAGACAATGGGACACATTTACGGTCACATTCAAATTCCTCGCTTGAACAAGCTAAAAATAAAAATAGATAATGATTATTAGTAAAATTGAAAAGTAAATTGCATACGTTTTTCAATCCAAATTGATAATGATTGATAAATTGTTAGTGAATTACAGTTATTAATTGTCGTTTAATTGTAATGTTTATAATCATGTAACAAGTTCCTTCTCTTTAATAACAAGTTGACTCTTATACTTGATTAAATGTTTCTAATCAAAAGTAATCAGCTTTTTTGTGAGAACCATCAATTACTACTAGTATTATTATTCAAATTTAGTAAATGGTATTGAAATAAAGGTAAATATGCTATTTTATCCTCTTTTAAAATAATAAAATGCATCCTCATCTAATTATCATGCAATAATAAGCGTTGATAAACATGGTGTGAGAAACAAATTAAAGTAAACAATTATTATATTAATTGAGAGTCAAACCATTACAATTATATTAACCATAATGTAAAAGGTGCAATGTTATTATATTCAGTTGCTGTAGATATTAAATTAAACTTCCTTATTAATTGAATGTTTGAATAATGGCAGCAAAAAAAGGTTGAAAAAATGAAAATCATGATTATCACCTAATCTTCAACTAATCAAGTCACGTTTTAATTTCATTGGGCAAATAGATATTTATTTCAGGAGTGAATTTTTAATACACCTGAAAATCAATGATTGAAGATTAATGCATTTTTTACATCACCTTTACTCATTCATTTATAAATCATTATTAGTATGAGATGCTAAACTTGGCTATCAAAAGTAAAATTGTGATTCAATTTCATTACCTCTTTTAGGTGAGCAAATTATGTTTGTATAAAATTGAAATTGAATTTAAATTGAGCTTTAAATTAAGTTATACGAAAGATTTAGCTTTAGAGGTTGGGGAAGTTTGCGGGATAAGTTTAATTAACCTTACACTTGACCATCAATTTTACTTCTATTTGGCTAATAAATTGATTAGAAGGGAAAAAATAAATGAACTTACCAACACCGGCACAATTAGCTTCATCAGCTGCAAAGGCACAATCCCTGACTCCATCACAAAGCCAATGTTTAGGTATACAACTTTTATCAGGACATTGAAATTCATCAGAAGCACAACCCTTACCAATGGCTAAGTTAACACAGACAGAAGGGTCAGTTGAATCGGGATAACGACGACAATCAAAAGCAGCAGATAATTCCAAAGTTGCTGGAACATATTCAGCACAACCTTCCAAAGCAATTCGGCAAAACTTTTTACAGGGTGGAATGGGTCTTCCCTCGACACACGGAGGCTCCAAAAAGGTACATAAAAGCTGCTTTATCCGTCTGTTACACTTTGATTTGGCGATGTAGTTGTAATAAGGTAATGATCGTGAAGCTTCTATTTCATTAGCGTCGCCAATATAATTTGGGTAAACCGTTGAATTGTATGGTACTTGACCGTTGCACATTGGTAAACTTCGGCGAATACATTCAGCTTTTGGCAGGTCATTAGCTACATCATATCGTCGATAAAAGTTGATTGGATCAGATGATCCTTCAACAAATGTTGATGACGATGAAAGAAGTGGTGACCTTTTGTTTCGAGCATTTCCTTTAGTTGATTGTGAAGATGTCATGAATGATGTTGCTGGTGATGATGATGATGAGGCGGAGGCAGATTGAGAAGGCTTTTGTAAAAGCTCAATGACAACAGGAGCTTCGGCTCGATGATTTTCATCAATTAATCGAGTTTCGGAGGCTGATGATGAACCCATTGAAACACCGCTATTAACAACTATGTAAATTAATACAAAACCAATGGTGATGATTCCAATCATGACGAGAATTGTTAACACCATTAACCAAAGAGTAATTGAATAGGATGACGAATTTTCACGTCGCCGATAATGGCGATCCATTGAAGCAAGTGAATGGATGCTTTTAATTGTTGAGGAACGGTCGTTTGAATCCTTTGGATTGATTGGTAATTTTATCAAGACAGAAAAGAGAATATAAATTGATTAAAAAATGGTTGAAATCAAGGGTTGACTACTTTTGAAAACAAAAGCTTACCTGATTTTGAAGTAGAGTCTGCATGTTGTTGATGGTGTAGTGTGATGTTATTGTTTTTTTGTCAATTTTTTGACCCTTTAGCTGAGCAAACCTTTAGGATCTAACTAAGTTAACCTCTCAACTTGAAATGAAGTAAACTTGAACTCATCTTATAGCAATGAAAATAAAAGATGATGATGATGAAAGGAAAGAAGAGAGAAAAGGAGAGCGAAAGAAGGGGCAAAAAGATTAAACTTAAAGGGCACAGAATAAAGATGAGGATAAATGATGATAGTAGTGATAGTCAATGATGAGATTGTGTAAAGATATTAAGAGGAGAAAGAGAAGAAGGAAGGATGAGGAGGAGGATAAATATTCAGTCAGGGGAAGAGCTAAACAGTTAGTCTGGCCAGACTTGGTTCATCTGAGACCCGTTTCAAGTGAAACATGCACAAAAGGGCTGATCAATGCAAGATGATGAAGAAATCCAGAGAAAGGGAGGAAGAGAGAGAGAGACACTTGAAATCTTGAATTTTCTAAGGCAAATTCAATTCCCGTTCTTATGGTGATTTTTAAGACTTTAAAAAAGCCCATTTTTTCGGTTCATCTCAAGAAAAAGGGAACATTTTCTCAATGAATATAAAAACCAATGGACAAGGCGGGTTAAATTAACTGGTTAAACTTGTCATGTCAATATCCATTGAGATCAATCACTTCTCAATGACCTTGCCTCATAAAACGTTATCCTTGATCATCTTTCATCCTCCAGTCAGTCCATCAGTTTCTTTTCCTGTTAACTTTCATTGGATCAACATGTAAGGAGTGTTAATTGATAATAACACTTGATAGTTGTTGGCGAGTTGGTTAAGAGACCATCAATAATCCTAATATAAAAAAACGATAATATTTTATGAAGAAATAAATAAAAAATTAGTTAACCAATTGAAAAATAATAATAAAAATATACATTTTCAAGGGATTAAGCTGGTTAAAGACAGGGTTGCTTGTCAACCATCAGCTTGGTTGTATTACTAAACATGAAGGTATTCAAGAAGATGAGAATGATAAAAATCTATGTCTTCAATGAACTTCCGGATAAACTCTTAAACTCATTAAAGCTTGATCATCACCATCTTCATCAACTTAAGCGTCAATCTTTAATCACAATTTACCTTTTTTTAGCAAAAGAACTACAGAAGAAACAGAAACATATGATTGATATTAACACCAATGAATGAGATTACATTTCACCGTCCTTTTTGTCAGCCATAAGTCGATTATTAACAAATTTTAATCATTAACACGATATTAGCAATCATAATTATAAAACATTGAAATAATAATTATCATCACTTGAAAAACAAAACTAAGCTCATGACGAGCATTAATGTCACCTGTTTATGCAAAATATAAAAAGCACAAAAAGCATAGCCGAATCAATGCTTTCACTTTGACTGCAGACATTTTGTTAATGATTTTTGTTAATTTACTTGTTCCACTTTGGATTTTGATTGTGATTAATTTTCTATGATTCATTTTTCACTTAATTTGTTGATCTTTAGAAGGGCAAAGTCATGATAACCCAATCTTGTTCAATCTGTATTTAATTGGAGAAAAGGGTAAAAGAAGAAAGAAAAACAATGCTAATTACAATTTAATAAAGCCGAATAATCATAATGATAATAGATTTAATTGACTGTGGAGTTTGAAGCTTGATAATCAAGAGCAACTATTGATTTACATTATTATTTTGATGGTCATCATCTTAAACGTGATTTACTAAAATCTTTTTTTCTTTTTTTCCTCTTCATTCTGAGCTTTATGAAACTTTTAACAAATGATTTTAAAATAATTTAGCTCAAATTAAACTTGATCCACTTGATTTAAATCACAATTTTAAGATGCGATCTTTTTCAAAGTAATCTAAATGGCATTTCCAATTCAACCTTACTTAATGAGTTAAACTCATAATGTTCTGTAATTTTCATGATTAACCAACGCTCTTGCAAGATTAATTGAACAATATTAACACTGTCATCGATTGAGTTCAGTTTTTAGTAGATATTTTCAGGGTAATCATCAAATAGGGCTAAGTAAAGGCATGAGAAGAATCATAATGAGCTAAAGTGATGAAGTTTCCTAAATTTTGGTCAAAACAAGATCAAATAAGAGGTCCATTTGTAAATCTTATTAGTTCCTTGTACAGTTAATCCTGAATTAGCCAAGAAAAGTAATCAATTTTTACTTTTAATCTCGTTAAAATATATCTTCAATGCTTTGTAATAAATCTGAATGTTTTGTAGCTATATTATGATGAATGAAACGAGATTACTTTAAAATTAAAATTTCATTTGATTAATTTTCCGTTTAGCTGGTAGATGGATGAAGAAATGAATGGTTGATAGATTGAGTTAACTTTCAACTTGTAAACGTATAGAATGGTCAGTAATCAATTATATGCTCATTGAAGAAGCAAAGGTTCTGCTGCATAATTAGAAAGATTAATTGTCAAATTTATCCTTTTCTTTTTAAAAGAAAATTATATCAGCTGGTTAATTCATTCATGATTTCATGCATAATTAGCAGATGTATTAATGAACCAAATCAAGGTGAGCCATTTAAGATTACAAATCAATTGGAAAAGTTGACAGCTGATTGTAAGGGTTGACAAGGTAATGAGCTGTAACTATAATTGTCACACATATAACTACGGAAATGTTTATTGAATCCTTGTCTTCTGCATGTTGAATATTTAACCACATCAGGTCCAATCGATGGTTATCATTGAGTTTAAACATTCTCAGACTTGTTTCATCCTTTTCTTGAGCTGTAACTGGACAAAATTTTCGATTTTATTGCTATCATTTTATCTGATAACACAGGAAACCTTCCGAGTCTTTCATAACAGATAACCAGGTTCAACAGTTTTTTTCAATGTTTCAAATGTAAAACTGGTGAAAAGCTGAAGATCATCCCGATCATGATGAGATTTAAACTGTTATTGATGTTAATCTTAATAAAAAAAGAGATAAAAAAAGATATTTGTTAATGGTTGACAAATTCATCCGTAAATGTATCGTTATTATATCAATACTGACCGTTAAATGTTTGGACACTTTTTCCTTGTTTGGGTTCCATCCGCACATTGATTATTTATTCTACTTGTTTGTTTGTATTAACATTTTTACCCAACTTTAATTTGATCATTTAGATTACGGTGGGAAAATAAATAAAATTAGAGGCTAATTAAAGGTCAATCGGTTTAGGCCTTTTCCTAATGAATCTTCTGGATTATCTTAAGTATCGATAATGGATTAGATATGATCCATTGAAAGTCAAAGGCTGAGACTTTCAGTTTGTAATTAACATTTTCTCCCTCAAATGTAACAAAATTTAGCTTCTCAATTTCAACTAATGAATAATTGTCTATTATCTTATCATTTTCCCTTGGGAAATCAAAATTTTTGATTGTTAAGATGAAAGCTGAATCTAAATTGGATAATTGTTCATTGAATCATCAAAGATCTAAAATTCAATGATGATTGCAGTGATGTAAACGATGTTCCGAAAATTGTCTAACTTTGAGTTACTGGCTCAAAGCTATCGACATTGCCTATTACTCCGTTACATGTGATACATGTGTGTGAATCGACGTTGACCTAGTTTTGCATGGTGTCGGTTCGAGTTCACCATTGAAGTTCATCTGCTTATTTAAAATGACTCATTCCTGTGGTTGGTTCATCCGAATAATGGATTATATTGTCATCCAGTTTCTCTAATTTTTACCTTCACCTTCAATCGTAAAGTGGTTATTATTATAAAACAGTGATACAACCATTTGATGGTGACAAAACATCAGCTGTTAAATCGGAACACTAATACAAATATTAAAGTTGAAAGTGATGGATTAAGGTAAGTGATTTGCTATATAACAAAGGATATTTTGCTAAGGATTGTGTAATTAAAAGATTAATTATCATTAATAGGTAGACTGAATTGGACATATCAAAGGATACTCAATCATAATCATAATAATGATCATCAACAACATCTTTGATCATCGACAAAATTGTTAGGTTGAGCCCGGAAGTATGATGATCGTGATGATGAATGGCCGTTTTGGATGTTCACTGTTTATTGTAACTTGAGACTTCATTTTAATCATCATCATGATGATCATCATGTTATTCTCACTGTCAAAATGAATGTGTATCAAATGGAAGCGTTGAGAATGGATGATGTTGACGTTGATAATGATAATGATGCTCATAATCAAGAACAAAAATTAAACATTGTGTTAACTAAAATAACCTTAAGGTTGTCTTAAATACATATTTTTATTCTCCTTTTGATTCAACATTCTTCTCAATCACTTTTTCTTCAAATTGAACCTAATAATGCACGGAAATTAAGCATCATCATCATCATCATCATCATAATCATCATCATAGTTATCACAATTTACAGCAACATTTTGATAATTATGATACTTGTTGATCGATTTCCTTACGGCAATCAACTTGAAAAGTTGATCATCAATATCACGCCATAGTAAGTAATACAATATCAAAAAACTGCACCCATAATTGATATCTTTTTATTAACCCTTCAAGGGTTGACATAAGCTTGTTTAATTTATAAATTGTTATTATGCTTAATGACAATCAATATTATCCAATAAATGTTAACATTGAGACAAGAAATACAATTCATTATTTACCTTTTTTTTATACTCAACCCTACAACATATGTTAACTTTATTTTAAATACACCTCAAAGTGATAGTCTTTGATCAATTGGGCGATCCAATTAGCATTATTATCATCATCATTATTAATGACACGCATTTGTTGAGCTATTTATTATGATACAAAGTCACCTTAATTGTTATTATCAATTGATTATTTTTCATCATAACCAAATAATAAATGTTATAAACAAAAAACAAGCAACAACAAAATGAATAATTGAACCTTCAATATATTATTATATTAACCCAAACTCAGGCCATGCGTTGGCTCAAATGGAGAGCTTGTTAATTGATTAATAAATTGCTAAGGTTGAAAATTAGCAAATTGTGTCTCACTGTTTACCTTATTTTTCATCTTAATAAGATGATTATAAAACTGATTAACATATGATGCTTTAAATAAGTACTATAAGCACCTGAAAAATGCGTTAACCTGAAACAAGACATTTGTAAAGCAAACAAAAAGGTCAACACAATTGTAATTTCTGATTGTAAAAATATAAAACATCTTTGATTTCTGGTAATCAAACAATCAGAAGCTGTTAAATCACAGTTACTTGATATGCTTTAATAATGACCATAACATATTGAGGTGACATTGAAAGGCTTAAGGTTAATTTTTGTGAATATTTCAACGGACGATTTTCCCTATTCATTTGCAGATAATTTGAATAAATTACTAATACTGTGATGTTGATAATCAGGTGAATGTGAACCCAAATCGTGAAGATATTCTTGGTGAAGTGTTATGAAGGAGGATATTTGTTTCAATATATTGAGACAATCAGTATAATCATTGAAAACGTGTTTAAATATTTAAATCTAGACAATTTGTTCCAATTATCGAGTGCAATATTTTTTAAGGTTAAATAATGTTAATCTTTACCGATTATATCTAGTTAAGGAATGATTGTTGACCAAATTCCGTGCAGATTATCAAGTTAATTTTAAAACAGTGACCATCATTATCATCATCAGCTAACTAAGGTAATCTTCACTGAATATTATTGTATCAACAATTGTTTTAACCCTATCATTACATTTCTTCTTCTCTTAACCAACCCAGAAACTAAATTTGAAGAAAAAATAAAACGATGTCTCAATTTACAGTGAAGATGATGATCAGGATGATCATGAAAAAGATGAGAAATAGCAAAGTAAGAGAAGTAAGAAGCGATATATTATTTTATGGATAACCCGTTAGTTTGAAGAGCATGTTGATGATGATGATGAGCTGGAGAAAGAAGGAAGAAAGACACTCCTTAATTAAATTGAGGCATGACTTGAATTTCAAAGTGAAGACAATTAACTTGATTGTGATAGTAATAAGTGGTAATCGTTGTAATAATGATGATAATAATGCCTAGTACTGTTTGCCTTGATTACTATGAGTAGTTAACATTTGTTGTGTTAAAACTGGTAGCTGTTTGGATTGTTATAAAAATGTTAACTGTTGTAAACCAATTGTTGTACCCAAATATGCAGCTAATTGTCATTAGTAAAATATATTAATATTAATACAATGATTCAAATGTACCAACGGAAAACGGTTGTTTAAAAGGTGATTTAAATCAAATTAAGAGAATCACATTTACAATGGAAAGCAAACAACAAAGGAAACAGCAAAACATTAACGGGTTACATTCCCAAGCTTTGCGCTTGTTTTCAGGTTTGAAAAATGATTATTTAAATTAAATTATCATTTTCTATCAGCATTTTAATATCATTATTATTGTAATCAGTTATTATAACAATTATGTGACTGAATATAATTCAACTGATTAGAGTAGGGACTGATCATTGATGACTGATTACTCTTGGTAAAGATAAAGGATGATTGTTTTGACCACCCAACAACAATGGTAACACTGATTGAATTTTAAAACAAGTGTTAACCTTAATTTAGGTTAATATAATTTAAAATCAATAATGATTATTATAATAATAATGGATTGGTTAGGTTTACAATTTATGGCTCAATGTTGAACTGAAATCTGGTTTAAAAGTGAATACCAGATTTTTCAATGTTGCACTTTTTACGGTAAAATTTAAAGTTAATCACAAATATTGATGATTATTATTCAAGTTGCATTGTCATTAATAGATGTAGTTTGCCTGGCGGTTAATTTAAGTTCAAATTGATCGGGAATGGTAATAAATGATTAATAAAATTGTAACCTCATCTGTTCATTTGATCACTTTTCACTCTATTTGATTGTTATTATCGTTATTAACATTGATGGGCTAACGGCTTAACTGTAGGGTGTGTGTTAATAGGATTTATAATGTTAATGATAATAATCATACAAATTGGTTGGACAATGCTAATAATTTAACCTAATAAGATGACTATTTAATTGTGAGATTGTGCTCCTCACAATAGTCGATACTGGTTTCAATGAATGAATCTTGACTTTTGGTGCTTCTAATGGTTCAACGTTTTTCCCCTTTCAGCTGAAATGGTTTCAGTTTTCACATAATCAGAAGAGGCCAATCAATATTCATGGTAAAAGCAACTGTAAGAATAAAAAGAAACAAAAGTAAATTAAATGGTTTCAATAATTTTAATCGTCATTAACATCATCAACAGAGTGGCAAGAGTAAAAGCATTCACACTCGGTGTAAGAAACAAAAATAATAAAACAAAAAAACAACATTAGCTTAGCGGTCAATGTTGATAATTATCAGGCAAAAGCAAGCAAAGAGGGATAAAAATGAAACATGTAGGATGGGTTAGCAAGAAATCTGTTAATTAGATGAGGTTGAAATTGAATTTTGCTTCAAGGCCTGAAACCTCAAGCCTAATCTTTTCAATTTTCATGTTTTCGCCAGAGACACTTTTTGTTTTGTCCTAAAAACTTAGATTACAGTTGATCAGATTCCTAAACATATTGACCAAATTATCTGAATCAGGTTAATTGATGGTTAAGCTTACAATAGTAGTCCAAGATGATGAATAAAACAACAATTAGAGAAAAATTTGATTAATTTTGTTTGGAGACGAAAAATGGTGAAAAAGTAAATTGAAGCAAATTTTTGGCAGCCTCGAGATTCAACAGCAACTTCATTTAATGTTGATTTTTGCAGATTATATTTGCTATTAATTAATAGTTTGTCAGGTTAACTTGATTGAATAAATAATTCATTAGAATAAAGATAATTTAATATTAAATCTGTTGGTAAATTCATTTGATAGCAATTTAATTGAATCATCAATGGGTCTGTTGAATGGTTTCCACTTTTAGTTCAAATGAAGCAAAGTTTCAGTTACATTGATTGTATTCAAATTGTTAGATGATTCGTAGACACTTGATAGGCTCATGGTTGATATGGAAATGAGTTGATCTGGAATATTTCCTGTGTTGAATGGATTTCTGAAGAAATTAAGATAAAAGGAAAATTATTGTTAACTATTTTGAGTTGGCAATCTGTTTAACATAATAGATGAGTTTATATTATTGTAATAGTTAAAGGTAAGAAGAGTTTTTGATCCTCACTTGAAAAGTTGTAGGTAAAACAAGGAAACCTCAGGTAACTTGAATAAACATTGGCTTCTATTTAGCATTTAAATTGATTAGATATTGTTGTGTTTTGTTGATGAATATGAATAAACATTTGGTCAGTGTTTGGTTGAAGCAACATTGTTAAGCTGTGTTATGGCCCATGTTAATGATTAACCACTTAAGTTGAATCTTTTAATATAATCTTCCACCTTCTGATCCATTGTCTTGATGAAACTGGCAATGTTAATTAGTTAGAAATGAAGAGCGGAAAAAAGGAGGAAATCTAGAAGAAAAAGGTAGAAAATAGAAAAGAAAATAATATTTAAGAGGAAAAAAGGAATCAAAAAGATGGGCCTGGCTTTGCCCTGAAAAACTGAATGTCTATCTGGATGGATTGAGTTGATTTGAAATTCATTAAAGCAGTTGTGTGGCTGGTACTGTTCACAGAGTCGGTGGATTCACAAGTTGGCCTGCAATTACAATCCAACAATCGGATATCCAAGTCCAGTCTTTCCATGTAAAAGTAATTTGGTCACTAAAAAGAATAATAATTTTGCTAATTTTTGTAATAATAATGAAAATAATAAGTAATAATAGGTAGAGTGTGGGGGCTAAAGGTCATACCTTTGAAAATGAGTCTCGGTAATGATTACGAGACAGCTTATAAGTGTAAGGATTAATAGACTGTATGTTATGAGTTGAGGCCAACGGTATAAGTGGCCTATCGGTAGATTACTAAAACTTGTAAATAACAGCTCCTTTTTTGCAATTAACTGAACTCCTTATAGCTGGCAGCGCGTTTACATTAGCAATGGCGCTTGTATGTTCAAAAAGCTGTTGATTGTTTTAAGGCAATTGCTATTGTTTTATATGGTGTATTATCATGTAAATGTTGCTTTTGTTGAGATTATTGCTGTTTAATTTAGCCATTTCAAGATGATCCTTGTGTTGGCTATAAGTCCAGGTTAAGATTATCTAATTGTTTAACACATTTATGTCTCTTTTTTACATTTTTTACATCCGGATTCATTATGAAAGGTAAGTTTTCTAACCTTTTTTTTCGGTGCATTACAGGGGCTTGTATAAACAGCAAAATGATGACAAACTGTCTTGAATTTTTGTGTTCACCACTCCAGCCGCTCCTTGTTTAATTTGAGTTGGTCAACATGTACAAGAAAAAGCTGAATTCAGAAATAAAAAGAGAAGAAGAAGAAGAGAAAGAGATTTAGAGAGAGAGTTTGATTATATCTCATAGCAATTATACCTTAAGGGTTTTAATGATCAGCACAATTTTGTTAAATAAATCAACGGAGAATTGGTTAGAGAGTAAACTATCTTGGATGCTAAAGGAGAGTTTAAAACATCTAAATACTAAATATCCTTTCAATGCCAGGTATTAATTCTTGTAAATGATTTAACAAGCGCAATTACAAATAAACAGATATTATAGTAATGATACAAGTATGTTTAGTTGCTAACAAAACATTTTTTAAAGCAATAGACTCATATTATGTCTAATCTTACAATTTATTGTAATACTGCTCTAGCTGGTTCATCAACCCTTCATCAGGCTCAAGTCGATCACATTGACTTACAAGAGATGTTAGTGCTTGTGATAATTATTCCGTCTCTTTAGGCTCTCAGGTCAAGGGTTATTCAGGATCAATCCATCACGGTGTATTTGAAACGAGCAAATCGACTGTTGAATAAGGAACACCAACGTTTATCTGAATGATTTGGACTGAGAATGGGAAAATTCAAGGCTGATGAAGGGTATGTGTTGTATGATGAATGTTTAATGAGTATTCTTGAAGGATTCACTTGAAATAGAGTTGAGAATGGCGTAAAAATAAATCCTTTTTATCAACAGCAAGTTGGAAGTTGAATTGGAAAACCACAAATATCAATAATTATCAGTTGAAATTGAGACAATTTAACCCAGACTTGAATCACTGTTGGGTTTAGAAGATTCATTACCTTATTACTTGATTGATTATCTTAAAATCATGAATATTTTGATCGTTTAGAGATGATGACAGTGATGATAATTTCAGTATATTCATGAGTATGTCATCATTTTGCATAAACCAAACTTGTTGACTTTCAGTAATTTACATGTATGAAGCTGAAAATGTTGGGTAAAAAATAAATAAAGTTCAGTAAGTTACAATTAAGTAACAAAATTAAAGGGTCAAAGCAAAAATTATTGCATTTAAGCACACAAACTGAAAAGACTTTCCATTGGAAAAAATATCTTTAACTGGAGGGAAAATTATGTGACTCATTAGGGTTAACCCGTTTAGACAAAGGATCATTTGGGTAAATGTTTATTTGCGCTTGTTTCATATTTCTGTCTCTTCTGTTTTATATTAACTGTTTAATTTAAATTTGTTGCTTTAGTTACTTTTTAATTGTGAGTTTAATTGTTTAAAGTAACCTCAAATAATGTAGATTGTGTCTCATCTCTTGAATTTGTGCCATTTCAAAGGACCAATTCTCATATGGTAAGTAAGCCTATTTTTCCATCATCTTATTCTTTCATTGACTAAAATCTTGTTTTTGTTTTCTTTACTGATTTAGGAACATATTTGAATGGTTTATCGATGAAACTGAATGCTGATGGTATCAGATGGGAGATAATGTAATTATGAAAATATTACGGACTGTGTTGAGTGATGCAATGATGAGGCCAAGTGAAAATGCAAGGTGTGTAGCCTACGGACGCAATTTGCAACGGATGATGGACACTAATAAGTGGAGCTATTCAATGGAATACAGAATGTAAATTAAGATCAATGTTAACTACAGAATGATGTTAATTAGAAGAATCACTCTCATCTCCTTTCCTCTTCTCTTCTATACCATTTTAGTGGTGCTGATGACGATGATGATCATCAGTTGGCTCAATTAGCATCAACTCATAATAACGAAGGCAAAAAGATGAAGACAAAACCAAATGGGAAAAAGGAACAGGCCATTAAATATCAACACCGATCCGTGATGATGATCACGCCAATCTCAATTTATCATAACTGTTCAATCATTACTATTAACATCAGATGGACAAATGGAGTATCATGATAAAAGAGAAACTTGTCTTTTATTTTGTTTCTTTCCCATTCCCTTGAAATTCAATCAACATTCAAAAGCATAATAATTTGATTAATTTAGAAATTATTTCACTAATAGCTTCAGCTAACCGAACACATTTCATATTATTAACATTATTAATAACATTAATAGATACCAAGCCTGGAAAAATTTCTGTTTACCCCTTTCACCCTGATTTATTTATTTCTTTATTAATTATCATCGTTCTTTCAATGATATTAATGTGTTTTTATTGAATTATTACGATCTATTAATTAAGTACATATTCAATACTCTGTTAAGACTAATTAGTCAACTAATTAACTTGATACACTTGAAATAAGGGCATCATTACAATACATGTTGAAGGGGATAAACTCTTTTCTTTGACATTTTTTGTTTCTCCATTTTAAATTGTAATAAATTAATTCTCTTGAAATATTTAGATTTCTTTTGGCTTAAATCGCCTCTTTAATAGACTCATTTAAAACCTGTAATTGTTTCACTGATTATTCATTCATCTCACTTCTCATGGGACAAGGTCAAGGTTGTCATCAGGATTATCTGAATGGGTCTTGAATTACTTGAACAAATATCTCCTTGTTGCTGTTGACGTGATTCAGCTTGATTTAACTTTTGATTAATGCTATCAATCCAAGTGATCAAAAGTTTGATTATTTTAGATCCCATTCAATTTCATGCTCTTAATCAACTCTTCACGTTGACCCAATATTTCACATAAAATGGCTATTTATGTTGATGATGATATCAGTGACTTGGAGGAAACTGCAAAAGATGAAATGATCCTGAAAACTGTTATTAATACGTATTATTCTGATGACAGTTGACCTTTCCTGGTGGATATTTATCAGATAAATGCCACGAAAAGAGTAACACGAGACTTTAAGGTGCTAATTGCTTCACTTTCGAGTATGATATTTCATTATTTTTTAGATTTTTTGGTTCGGGTTTCGTGATTGAAATATCTTCTTTGTGCACTACTCATTACCTAAATTGATAATTTAATCTGAGCAACGGAAAAATTGAGATGTTAATCAGATTGAAGAAAAATTTGCAAGATTTTATTTTAAATCATTTTTATTTGAAACTTTTTGATTCATTGTGATTATAATAATGAATACAAAATCTGAAATTAGTGGGAACAAAATTAATGCCCGTGATCAAACTCAACAATTTTTATGACGGCCTTTTGTGTTTACATCAACGATAAAATTTGACCTGAGACACACAAATATTACGATGGAGAAGTAGCATACATTTCGAAATTACGCTTGTTCTAAACCATTTAGAAGAGTCAATACTTATAGCTGACATTGAAAGCATATTTAGTATTTAGATCTTGTTAACTCTTTCTTTACCATCAAAGATGATTTCATCTCTAACCAATTCTTCGTTGATTTATTTAACAAAATTGTGCTGATCATTAAAACCCTTAAGGTATAATTGCTATGAGATATAATCAAAGTGTTTCCCTTTAAATTGTTGTTCCTTTTTTTCCTGTCTCTTTTAAACTCTTTCTCTCTTTTTTACCTTTTCAGCTTTTTTCAATGGTTTTTATTATTTGTTTCAGCTGATGCTGATCAACGCAAATTAAAGAAGGAGCGGCTGGGCTAGCAAACATCCAAGATAACATAGCAGAGCAATTTGTCATCATTTTGTTATTCAAAAGCCCTTGTAGTTCCTTAGTACTCTGAATCTCGGACAAGACAGAGAGAAAGAGAGAGATAGCCTAGAACTGAAAGTCTAGGACTTTGAATGAACGATAAGATTTTTGATCCATTGTTGATCTCCAATAGTTGATTCACACCCAGGAAGTCCATCCTTCATACATAAGAGCCAAGTTTTCCAGTTTCATGGACTCTTTGATGACATAGTCCACTTGCTCTGAGATGGAGCTTCTGTTGACTGGATGAGGATCACGTCCATCTAATTTCATTTTTACTCGTTTCCAAACATTTGTAGCATAAGTATTACGTTCCAAACCTAAAATATGTTTGATTGGTTTCTCATTGGGTCCATTAAAAGATGATACTCCATTATATTGAGAACCTTTTTCCGGAGAAGTGTTGTTATTCTCGGTGGAAAATAATTCTTTAGCTGAAAATTTTTTCAATGAAAATTCTGATGATTCAAAGTCTTCGACTTTACCCACAAGGTCGAGTAAAGTATCATAAACAGGGTCAACTAACTTCATCACTAAATGAAGCCTTTCTTTTATATTAACTATCAAAGATTCTGACTCAGAGTCTTGATTCATATTGGATCCAGACGAAAGTTGTTCAAGCTCTTTAACCAGTTTGTAAATATTTTCAATAAATTTACGGTGAACCAAGTAATACTGATTAATGGGTCCATTATGTTTACTCTCAGGTCCCATTTCTCTTTCTTCCAGTTTGGATAAAACTCTAATTATATGCTTAATTTCAGCCAAAAGAGAGTTATGGTTATTTATAACGCTTTTCAATGGAACCAGCTATTAATGAAAATATTAAAATATAAAGTGAAAAAGAGTTAGAATAAAGATACACAAAAATTAATACAGACTAGTAATCATGAAATATCATAATTAATATGCATAAAGAGATATAGGTATTACCTTTTCGTTGACAGATGACCAAGGCGTGATATCGTTGTCATTGATGTTGATGTTGCGAGACTTGACAGCATCACGGAAAGTTATGAGAGTAAGACCTCCGCCAACATCTTTTTCATTGTTTAAATCTTTTGAGTTGGGTAAATCATTAACCAAGGGTAAATTGTTTTCATTTGCAGTCTCAATGGATGGAAACTTTGTAATATCGGAATTTTTCAAATCATTAGAAATTGATGACAAAATATTATTTAAATTGTCTTTAGCGGTCGCCCAATTAAAACGAGTTTCAATAATTCTGATTTTCAGCAAGGCTTCAGCATTTTCTTTTTCCATTTGGTATTTTGTAATAAACATTTCTTTAAGCACATTAACTCGTCCACCACCATAGATAGACCAAGTGTAACCCTCTTCATGTCCAGGTGTCCAGTCAATTAATGGATCATAAAGGAAAGCCTCCAATAAAGTGAGTAAGGTCTCACGACCCTTTCGTAAAACACGCAAAACATGTTCACATGATATCCGGAATGTACCTTCAACACCGGTTAGACCAAAAGCAGTGACAATATTTTGTGTTAAACGACAAGGAACACGTTCTGGAACTCTGAGAGTTTTGCCTTTTTCAAAACATATATTATAATCAATGTGGAATACTTCACCAGTTGACAAATCAACAAGAACGTTATCAAGATGACGATCACCTAATCCGATAATGTAACCAATCATACACATAACAGCATTAGATTGTGTGAAAGTTTGAGTGAGATGCCAATATTCAAATGCGTTTGTGGATGCACACCATAACTCCTTAGCGATCAAATTGCTTGGAGTTTCATCCATAAGCTCTTTCAGTATTTCGACAAGAATAGATGAAGACCATTCAGATCGAGCAAGATTGTTAATGCCTTTGAGGACGAGTTTACGATTAAATATTTCTGATGGTTTGTAAGCATTATCATTCAACGGTTGAACTGCTTTGTTGTTTTCATCTTTTGGATTGACTGGAGTGGTGGAAGCACGATTAAGCATCCAACGTTTATAAAAGCCGTATAAAGCAGAGCCACCATCAACCCATTGAATTAGACCAGATTTTGTACCTAGAGGAGTGACAGAATAATGACGAGCTCGGAAGCAAGAAGATTTTTCATTCTTGTTGTTTGGATACTTAGCAAACATTTTGTTAACAATTGTTAAGAAGTGCATTATTCTTTCATCAAGATGAAGATCTTCATGTCCTTTGAATAGATAAGTGTGAGTTTTTCCATCTGATCCAAAAAATCCTATCTTCTTGGGTTTAGTTTTGGTGTGAAGAATGGTAACTGTCTTGTGCACTTTTTCAATTGTGACTACAGTTCCATTACTGCTGAAATTAGCTCCAGGCATAGGTATGACAGTTTTTTCCATGTTGGTCAGAACAGGACTAATTGAACTCATGATAAGCTGTGATCGAGCAGAATTCCAATGAGAGGCCTTCTTTTGAAGTGAGTGAAGAAGTTGTTGATAAATAAGTAAACTTTGCTGAGGTTTTGCGGGATCGAGAGGAGAGTTTAGAAGTTTGATAGCATTCAATATAGCTTTAGAGAAGTTCTTTTGGAACCAATTTTCATGTGGCGTTTCGGGCGTTTCATCTGTGATCATTTGTGTTTGTTCAAGAATGTACAATACTCGTCGGAGGAAAACTCGATGCTTAGTAACAATAATTTTTTCTTCTTCCTCTTTAGAAAGAGATGGATTTTTATAAACACGAGCAATTTCATCTTCAAGAACAGTAACTTGTTTCTTCATTTCACCAAGATGTCCCATTAAAGTTCCAATCCAGAGTTCATCCCAAAGAATGATTATTCGACGAAGCTCATGAATAAAGGTTTTTGTTTGAGAAATAAGTTCAGGGTTTTGCTGACCAAGAGTGTCAACAAGAGCGGCGAAACAATTTTGCATCACCGATGTATCCTTCTTTTCATCTTCTTCTGCTTCATCATCATCAAAATCACAAAGAACGTTTCCATCTTCCTCGAAATTCTTAGAGGATTGGTTTTCAGTTATTTTGCCTTCAAAAAATATATCTTCACTATTACTGGTAAAAGAGCCGGCAACTGCAGGAAAGACGATAAGGTGAGGAGAATCTTCTCCGATTCGACACAGTAATTCGGAAATACTTTGGCGGACATAAGGTTCGGGATGACCAAGACGAGCAAATAGTTGTAATATAATACTTTTCCAAGGACCAGTTGGTGTGCTTGAAAGGCCAGTTTCTAAAATTTCACGCAATTCAGAAGCATGTTTAACAATGAGACGTAAAATTCTTAAAGTTGCTGTCACATAACTATCCTCAGTACCAGTACCACAAAGATGAAGAAATTTGAAATAAGAATTGGCAGCAAGCTTATAGAATGCGAAAGGCCCTTCGTTTGGATTAGATGAATCAAGATCAAGTTTGTCTGAATCCTCTGAATCAATTAGACGCTTTCCACATCGATAACTCCAAGCACCTAAGCTGAACCAACATTTGGGCATTTGAGGACAATATTGAACACCAAGTTGGAGAAGTTTTCCACTGGTAATTTCATTGAGATCAAAAATTTGGCTGTTACAGTTTGCTCCAAGATTAATTGTTTCGACCAATTCGGATAGCTTGTTGTATCTGACGGGATCTATTTGTTCCAATAAACTACCATCAACTTGTGAGTATTTTACAAGAGTCAGTAAAAGTTTTGATAACGATTCTTGGAAATAGCTTAAAGCGGGATCCGTGACCAGAACAAAATTGGTTTCTATGCATGAAAGTAATGTATTACCAGCTTTTTTGGTTTCGCCTAAAGCGTGTAAAAGTTTGGACCCTTCAATGAGAAACTTTAGTTTTTCTGTTGCAGGATGATCAGGACTTATATTGGTTTCTAAGGCCGATGTTATATAAATTTGTAAATGGCACGCTGATGATTTGTCAACCACTCCGTTTACCAGGGTATGGTTATCTTGTATGATGTTGGACAATTTAGCAAATTTTATCAATAAATTTTGAGATAGTTGTAAATTTGATTGCTTTCGAGCAATTTTAGCAGCAGTAAAGTTCAATCCATTGATTGTATTGTTTGAATCGGCTGACAATAAGGAATCAATATTTTTACACTTTTCTAACCATCCAATAGCGTGTACAAGAGTTGAACAATCCATTTTACGCAAGTCTTCTGACACTGAGTTAGTCCAAGGATTCCAATTAATTGAACGATCGTTGTTTTTCAACCGATGAAGAAGGTTTCTTGCAATTTTATTAACTGTAACTGATTTCTGGCAGACATACGATGGGCTAACCAGGATTGGAGCCGTTATTATAGCAGATGTTGCACGACACACTTCGTCCAATATTTTAATATTTGAACGATACTTTCTCTTATCATCAATTTTTAAATTAATAACGCTGGTTAACTGTGATTGAGCTCGATGGTAGACGGATTGTATGTCCCAAGAAAGTATATGAGGAAAACTGTATTCATACTTGTTGTAGTCATCAAGCTTATCCCAACTTGCGAGATAAGATAGATCAAGATCGCCTGAAAAGAAACTATTCTTTCTTCGTTCCAAAACATTTTCACGTGATATTTTGAAACATTCAAGAGCTTCATGCCAGTCACCTAAATTTTGATAACATTCTAGTAAACGGTTCTCAATGAAATCTTTGACCAACTTTTGTGATGCATCGAGTTCTTTGTTAACAAGACTGGTCAGGTAATTTTGATAATCTACAATTGCTGTTTCATATTTTCCTTGAGCTTCGTCAACAACCCATTTGATCCATGGAAGTCTAATACCTGCACTCTCTTTAGTCCAAATATAAAGACCAGCAATGGCATCGCCAGCTTTCAGTTCCATCAAAGCTTGTACCATAAGAGTTAAAATAAATTCTATTTCTTGATTTTGGGATTTGGAGACCATGTCTTTTAATAATTCTTGTCCGTGACGCCACACAGAAGCAGGATCTCCTGATTTTAACGCAATTATCATTAGTGAACGTCGATTTCGATTCATCCATTCAACACAGGTAGCTTTGTTGGTTCTGAAAAATGATTTAGCCAATTTAGGAGTAGTAAAAAGTCGACTGGCATTTCCTTCATAAGCATTATACATTAATTTGTCCAAATTTTCCATTAATAAGATTAACATTCGTGTTTGAAGAAGTTCATCATTGTGAGCTGACTTTTTAGTTTCCAAAGTATTTTGAACAGCTATTGCTTTCGATTTAACAGCCATTTCAATTTTAGTAAAAGTGTCCTGAGCTTTTCCTAAAGGAGTACGTAATTTGTTAACAATACAATACTGTATGCTTTGCCAACAAGCCCAGAAAATAAGAGAAGATTGATTATGGTCGAATATATCGATGATTGATTGAGTGTTGACACCAAAGCCGTTTTGATCATGATTGTTAGCTTTAACATCGGTCAACTTAGGGATACCGTTTGTTGAACATGAATGGCACAGTCTTTGAAGCCATCTTTCATCATCAATGGTTGGATTTTCAAGAAGAAAAGTAAGAATTATTCTGAAGCAAATAGCTGAGAATTGTGGATTAGGTTCACTTTTCATTAAAGCCATCTTTGCTATTCGAAGATCATCAGGTGAAAGATAATCGTTTCGGTTAAATTGAATTTTCATTCGACCAGAGCTTAATGAAAAACAGTTGATAGGAAGAATGGCATACAAATCAAGAAAACTTTGTACAATATTACTCTCAATGCGACCAATGTTAAAAAGACATGCTTGATGAATACGTTTAAGCAAATCAGTATTCGGTAAGTTTTCAATCGTTCGCAGCAGTATTTTCATGGCTTCACAACTGGATAGACATAGTTTGGAATTTTTGGCAAAAAGATAAAGAGAAACCGTTGTGACAAGACTGGTAAATTGTTGAGTTTGGATTAAACGGTGGAGGTGATACGAACTACTCTTTAGAATTTCAAGAAACCACGTTAAACAGAGCAATTGGATTTCTGATTGGACTTTCGATTTGCTCAATATTGTATTTAGAATGCTTTGTATTTTAGCAAAATGGCCAGTTGTGTGGGGATTTATTGGCGCTGTAAAAGCCGATGATGGAGAGGTACCAAAAAGAACAGAGATTCCACTAGTCTCAGTAATCAAATTACTATTAGAAATAAAGTGATTGTGTAAACTGCAATGAGAATGCAATATGAAGAGGATCGAGTATTGAACTCGAGGTGCTTTTTCCATCAAAGTTTGATTGGTTGGATCAATATAGTTTGTCAATAGGTCAAAAAAAGTTGGCTTTAAAGCCCACATTCCGATGATCGAATGTTTTGCATTTCCAATTTCAGTTAATGAGATTAAAGTTGATTCAATGACGATTTCGGCCTTGTCGATTTCATAACTTGTTTTGTTTTCATTCCAATCTTTATCATCGTATTCAGGAATTATCACTTCTTGTCCAGTTAAACTTGAATAAGCAGAGAAAAAGTCAGACAGAAAGGAACCATAAGTTTCTCTCACATGTGGTACACTCTTTAGTCCAAGCAAAGTATGATGTAACTCAAAAAGAGCAGTAAGAACTGCTGGTGAAGGCATGAAACGTAAATTCTGACAGTTTGATTGCGGTTGAAGTAAATCAGATATGAATTCTATCGGCAAATCTCCATTCATAGATTGAACAAATTTGGTAACAAGTCGAAGAGTTGTTAAAATGTAAGCATCATTAACATCCACCATATATTGATGAATCGAATAAATATAAGGTATTAATTGCTGAGACAATTCGTGAATCAATTCGATATTGTAATTACATACAATATCTAAAGTAAAAAGTGCACACTCGTTAGTAGAAACTATCAAAGATTCAAACATAGTAATTTGCAAGGTGTGTTCGACAGCAATGAGAATTGTTTGCAGTGAGCCAACAATGAATTCCCAGGTGATTCCAGTATTGCGCTCAGGTGAGGCAAATTCATCAAGGCTTTTGAGCACAGTGATATAGACACGTACCAATGATGCCATTTTATTAAGAGTAAAACTCGATTCAACAACATCCATCTGAGAGCTTTTCTCAACTTTAGTCTCATCTAAAACAGGATCGGAATTATTACTGATTTTTGTACTGTTTTCCAGTAATCGTTTGTAGAAAACTTCAAAATCTTCTAGGAATTGTCCTAACAAGTCAAGTGAAAATTCAAAATCATTCACCCAAAAGCTATTGAACGAGATAAAAGCTTTGGCTAGATTTGATGAGATAGCAGGAGATTGTGAAGAGTCTAAGTGCCAACCGATAAGAATGTCAACAATATCTCGAAAATGAATTTCCAAGACATCAGGAAAAATTCGTGATGTGGCAAGAAAAATGTCAGTTATACCAAGCAGAATTTCAGCCGTTTGAGCTTCTTCTAGTGCTTTTTTCACTTTGTTCATCAATTGAGGCATGTTTTCACGTAAGGCTCGGCAATTGCTCTCAATGATTTTAACCAAAGAACGCAGTAGTACCAGACGAGTTTCATCTGGAACAGAAGAGTTGTATAGCTCAAAGATCCAATTAAAGAGCTCTTTACAATGATAACCGAGGGAAACTGCAAAAGTTGATAAGCACACAATAATCTCCTCGATAATGTCTGGGAAAAGTTTGGTGGTCAAAATGCGAGCCAAAACCCTAGTGACATCATCAATGATTCTACCTGGTTTATCATGGACGATTCGACTGAATTGTTGGCTCTCGAATAATTGCGTTAGTTCTTTTAGATAGACGGGCCATTGTCGTTTCTCCCCTGATTCAAATTGTCGGAGAGCCACGCGCAGTATCACCCTGGTGATGAGATGAGAACGAGTGTTTTTTCAATTAATTACCGTCTTAAGCAACTAGACCATTAGTTAATCTACTTACTTATTTTCAATTTTCATAATCTCGATTGTAATACAGATGAAAGATTCCCCTGATTGGGTCAGGTTCATCTGAAATTTTAAACATTAAAACAGTAATTAACCATTTTTCACTGTGGATCCCAAATATCAAGATAATCCTAACATTGTTGCTATTGACAGTTGAATAATAACGGTGAATATGAGATCAATTTGTAAGAAGTTTAATTTAAATTTTTCTGACAAAAATTGGCGGATTAAAAAAGGAAAAAAACGAGAAAACAAAATTGAAAAAATAAATCTAATGATTGATCTGAAACAGACTTCTTGATCATCTGGTTTACCAAAATCACATGATAACCACGCGCCTGCCATCTATGGAGAGAATGTTTAACCAGAAACTTTTGATTTGTTCAATTTTACAAAAATTGAGTAAATTAACAAGGTTAGTTGAGGTAGAGGAAGGCAAGAAATTAGAGTGATTAGTTGAGCAGATAAAACTGTAAACAGATCTGAATTTTACAAAAAAAGAAAAACGGAAATCTGCGTAAACACTCATCTTTTGAGACTAGACAAAATTTGGCAAGTTCACAACGATTGCTCGATTGCTCTAGTGAATGAGTAATATGTGAGTTTACTTCATTTTACTGTTACTAATTAGAAGGAAGAACAAGAGAAACCGAATCTCTTTATTCAATAATTTTGTTTCATCCATATTGTGCCAGTTGGTTTGTCCATTTGAATCATCATGTCTGCTAATGCTGATGTAAGTAACAAATCTTTATTCATAGTTCAGTTTCTTTGTCACTCGACCATCTTACGCCACCCTTTTTTGATCCAGTACATTAGACGTCTCATTAATTATTGACAATCTTTATAACTCATTAATCTAAGTTTAACATTAACTGTACCATTCATCACTGAGTTCATCTACGTGAAATTGTGACTAGTTAAGTGTGAATCAAATATAAGAAAATAACCAAATAGGATTGAAAAGATGTTTTGTAACTGGACTTGCTTTTTTCCTCTTTTGTTTCATCTATAGTTTTATTCGTTCGTTTATTTTTAGCTGTGTTTTTGTTACATTTTATAAATTATCATTCTCGTGATTATGATTTAAATTATCAGTCTGAATATTTATATTTATATTTATATGTTTATGTGTAATATTGATTGTAGAGACCAAACTTAAATATCTTTTGGGTTTTTTCTCATATGCTTTGAAATCACATCTTAAAATCCTCTGTTCTGATTAACCAAGCTAAAAATAAGTTCATAATAGTTGAAGCGACAATTCTTCCTTTTTCTTGTTTTCTTTTCTATCCTCTGATCTACATCCTCCACATCATCCTCATCATCATAATCCCTCTTCAACTTCTTTCCTTCAAGATAACCCAGTAAACGCAGGTTGATCCGTTGGGTTTACAGTATAATGATAATTTTGGCTGAGAGTCAAGTTTTCCCAGATAACCTGTCGAGATCCAATGCTTACAAAGCAATATTTTTCACAACAAAATTAATCATGTTATTTGTATCAACTTCATTTTTCGTGCTAATTTCACAACTATTTCTTCTCTTACCTTTTTTCAGAATAAAGATTTACGTGAAGCCTGTTCCAAGGGTGATTTAGCTGAGGTTAAACGTTTACTAGGCAAAGGAGCTGATGTTAAATCAAGAGATTCTTCTGGTAATACACCTCTTCATATGGTTGACGAAGGCCAATTTGAGGAGATAATTGATTTGTTGGTGAAAAAAGGAGCTGATATTAATAAAGGTGATCGTAATATGTGGACTGCACTTCATTGGGCCTCTGTAAAGGGAAAAAATGATGTTGTCAAGGTTTTAATTAAACAAGGAGCCAATATAAATGCTAAAACTGTGGACGGTTTCACGCCATTGATGGCAGCAATCAATGGATTTTACAATAAAGTTGGTGATTACGCTAATGAAGGATCTGAACACATTTTTAAAGATGTCTGCTTCGCCATTGCATCTCATATGACCAAAGCTGATATGGTTAATATCAAAAACAACGAGGGTTTCAATGTATTAGATTTTGATAATGCTCTTAACAACAGTTTTGTGCTTTCCATGCTTGAAATCATCCTTAAATGATTATCAATTTTCCCTAAACTTGATGGTGGTACGCAATGAGTCGACTATTGTTCATCACTTCTTAGCCTATCAAACGTCAACAAATCGCTTTCTATTTTACTCAAAGTGCCCTTAGCGCAAATTTTGCCAAAGAGAGGAAAACAAACCTCCAAAAGTACGACTGCATAATGTATCAATATTAATGTCCTTGCTTTCTTATCTCACAGATATCAAAACGACAGCGATTGAAAGAGTTTTCACAACATTGTACACGAAAATAAGTTACGAATCAATTAATGGTCGGACTGTATTGATCATGAATTAAACTCACCTTATCAATGTCATTATTTTGATTCATTAACGAGATCATAACCCAAACTTGGACAAGAGCGAAGCGAAGAGAGGCAAAGACCAACAAATAACATTTACGACAGTTCAATATCGATTAAACCGTTTATATCAAATTTAGGATTCTATTTAATTATAAATATATCAACAAGTAATTAAGTTAACACGAAAAAATATGGCTGAAGGAATACAATTAGGAGCAGTGATTGAATGTCTTCTCATGTTTTTACCTTCAATTGAAGGGATGAATTATTTCAGATGAAATTGAGCATAAAGTGGGACATTGAGTCGGTGAAATAAGATTGAGAGGAACTATCAAAAGATTGGAAATGAACTATGTATTAGAGGAAAGTTAATCTGTCACAGGGTTGATTCAGATTAATGCATGGTAAAATGAAAGAGGATAAAAAAGGAAAGAGTAAGCAAATGAAATATATTGTTTGCCAACATTCAAATTGAATCATGATAATATATTATGATAACTTAATAAAGTAACTTTCAACAAAGTTGAATTACATTACACAGCAATTATTAATATGTAATATCAATTTTATTATTATTGTTGTTATTTATCTGTTTACTTGCGTTTGTTTTCAATCTCCAACTGAATGAAAAATTGAACAATAATCTATTATCTCTTATACAAATGAAAGTGATATATGGTTATAATTTACATTGGACAAACTTTCAATTGCTTATAAATGTTAACATACAAAAGCATTTGTTGTTTTGACTTCAGGGAATTGATGAACAAATAAAAAAGAAATTCAGGTTAACTTGTTTCTTCTTCTTTCTCTTCTTCCTCTTCTTCCCTTTCATCCTTGTCTCCATCTTTTCATTTCAACAAATTGACTTAAACTATCACCAGTGAAACTCAATACAAGCAAAGTAACAGTTCTTTAGGATATGGATCATTAGATGAGATTAACTTTGATTTGCATGTAAAAAGTCCCATTATTTAACCAATTGGTTCCAATCAAATGATTTTAATCGAGTAATAACACCAAAAGCACTTAAAAATTGCTGGTTAAATAATTAGTTACAATATCAGTAAAAGATCATATATCAGCAACGGAAAAATCACATTAATCAGAATACTCCAGGATTTATCAAATAAACTTGTTTGATTCCAATCTTATTTCCATGTCTTTCAATATTGGAGTGATTTTGCCTGTAAATTAAATAAATGATAAAGTTAATAATCAATAAAACACAGCAAGAAATAAAAATGTAAATCAAAATGGCAAACACCAAAAATCAAAACATCTAAAAGCAAGGCCTTACCAACAAGATAGTCACCATTTGAAGTTTCCTCATTGGCAATACAAAATACAGTTGATTAAATGATACAACCACAAATAATAATGATGTCAATAATTAAATTAATAAATGATTTAAACAATTTACACAGACAAAAACAAGAAACATAAACGAGGAATGGGGAAACATTGAAGATGCCGTGATATAAACACAAGGTTAGACTCCGAAATCAGTCGTTTTTTCAACGACTGACTGACTGGGGGTTTTATCGACTGGCGGTCGACTCAAGTCGAATCAGTCGACTTTCACTCAAAACGACTGGCGGTCGACTCATTTCGACTCAAAACACAATTTTTGAGGGGGTAAGAGGGGGTATTTAAGAGACGATCTAGAAACAAACAAGAAAGTACATCTTCTGCCTTAAAATGATCTTTTTAGTTAATATATTAGCTTTTTTATTTAATATCAAAAGCATCGCAGATCTACGTTACATAATCAAAGTCGCCATGCATAATGAAAAATTGTTGAAAAAATGACGTGTTTGGCGCTTAAATTCAAATTTTGAGTGAACTGAGTCGACTTAGTCGACTCAGTCGATACCTCAATCAACTGGCGCTCAGTCGAATCTTCATCAACTGACTCAGCGGCTCAATCGACTGACTTCGGAGTCTACACAAGGTATCTTTTTTTATAACAAAGCAATAATTGAATAATATTAACAATAACTAACTTGACTCGCCTTATTATCATCCTGAAATTATCAGTTCTATAGGGCTTTCATGGTTATAGGGTTTTCTTAAAGATGTTCAAGAGGTTGAAGGGAAACAACTGAAGGTAATAATAATAACTGGCGATGCAAGATAAAGATGAAAAAAAGGTGAGTTTATAGAGCTTAAAAATGATATTTTGTTTTGTCAGGTTAACCCATAACTGTGAGTGAGTGAGTGAGTTTATGTTATCATCACATCTCTTCATTATTATTTGATAAATATATGAGTTTATGTCCAAAGAGTTTCCTTTTGTCACCAATGATCCTTACTCGAATCATTTGTGTATAATATTGATAGCATGAAAAAAAATATATATCTTAATTCACAACATACAAATTGACTTGTTATTAGGTGCTTTTAGGTAATAAAAGGAGGAAGAGATGAAGAGAGATGGAGGAAGGAAGGGAGGAAATGTTAGAGGTAACTGCAATTGGTTAATAGGATGAAACTATTTGAGCATGGAATATGGTTTCAACTCAATCTTGACTCTCTTTTTTTTCCTGTATAGAACCAAGTCTTTAACTGAAGATGAAAAAAAGAGGATGAATTGTATTTATGGTTGATATGATTCAATTTGAATTATTATTATTAGTATTATGTACATTTATGTACACACATAGTTAGATTGATGATTCTATCAAAATATTAGTTCATAATCATCATCATCATCATAATATTATTCATTGATTATCATTTTACCATTTTTTTGATAAATATTTCATTACACATTAGTTAGAATCAAAAATGGCGCCTTTGGTTGTTACCTTTTCTCCTTTACGTTGGTAAGCTGTTGGCAGGTCAATGCAGATGAAGGGAAACAACGAGAATTAAGTTGCCGTCTAATCGTTTCTTTATAGCTTACTGGTCACGCTTTTGTAACCTTTTTATCCTCGGCTTTTTTATCTTCATCTTCATCGTCATCCCTGCTTTCCTATCTATATATTGTTGATGTTGTTACGTTGAAAGATTATCAAGTAAATTGAATTGAGAATCATTGAGTTGTTAAACAACAATAGACATTCAGTTACAATATCTTTTCTCTTGTTCACTCTTTTTCCTCTTTCTATTTTTTTTCGTGCTACCAAAGTAATTCACAATAAACTATTCCAGCAATCAACTGTATTACCAATCAACATCAAATTTTATACAGTTAAAGATGTTAACTTTCATCCAATGGTTTATATTGTATGGATAATGATTCAATTGTATCAACCTCATTCAACCATAATAGTGATAAATAATAAGTCCTTCTTATAATAATCATTCCCATCACCACACCCGTTATCATCATCATTATGGACCAGTAAAGATTGCACTCTTTCCAAGTGGTCAAAGCTTTTTAAATAATTTCTCCTATTGTTTCTCAATCATTCCAGTATTACCCATTAATGGTCATTTTTGTTTTTAAAACACGCGTCTTAATGACAATTTAGTTTCTCACTTGCTTACTATTAGTGCCTTAATCGATGAATTATGATGAGAGAGTGAGAGAAAAAAGATTGTCAAATAATTAGGTAAAGTGGTTTACTGAAGAAGAAAATCGCTGTATAAATCAATATGGAAATGGTAATTTATTCAATGTTTGCCAATTTTGTTTTCAGTAAATGTACGAGTGTATTAATTATGTTTCATGGTTTAATAACAACAATCATATCGCAGACTTTATCAATTGTTGCATAAAATTTGAAAAAATTGCGATAAAATTGAAAAGTTTGAACAAATTTGGTGTAAAATGATCATTAAAAGAGGCGCGTTATGTTGCCGCGTGACGCTCAAGAAGCAAGATGATCGAGAGTGAAAGTTGAGTTACTCGTGCATCTCTCAACATCATTTATTATTGTGATTTTCATTGTTATTATTATTAGTCAGTTTCTACTTTTTTTGCGTGTGTGACTCTACAATCTGATTTAAAACCACACTGGGAAAACCTTAATCAATACAATTGCATTGTTATTAAAAGAGATTTGGTTACGTTTAAAGAATCAAGTCAATTTTTCATTTCCAACCTAACAACTTCACACCTTTCCACCAAATGGATTGAAATTACCAAAGAGATCATCTTTACTGTCATTTTATCCATACAATAATGATGATAACATTATTTTAATTTAATCAACTTAATTAATTAGCTAATTAGTAATCTAATGTAACAGTTACGATTGTAATATATGGTTAGTTATATGTAATATAAATGTGAAACAAGAGCTAGTTAATTAAAAAAATATATATCAACAAAACTTGAAAGAGTAAAATAATATTTCATTAATTCTTATAACCATGTGTAATTAACTTCCATTGAGAGTAAACTTTTCTTCCTCAACATTTTCCTTTCATCAAATTAACTTGATTTAAATTTAATTTAGTCTATACAATTGTATGTTTCATGGGGTGATTAATTAATTGGGAAATGACAAGGTGAATATTAATGTATCTAAAATGATGAAAAAGCTAAGTAAGTTGACAAATATAACACTGAAACCAGCATAGAGATGAATAAGTGACAGTATTGATTATTGTTATTAATTGTTGTCTCCTTATATCTGATTGATGATTGATCATTTTTGAAATAATTGATTGTCTTGATGTTTAAATTGAAATGAAAGCCTTCATCGATGATCACCAAAAATATCAGGCTTAACTCATGTAATGGATAATGTGCGCATTTTGTTTACTGAGCCAGATACCGATTATACAGGATTTGGAGAGTTATAAAACCACTTGAATGACAATCTAATTTGATTTAACAATCAAAAGGCTCGTGGCAATGACAATGGGTAAAATCCGGATTAACAAAACAGGTCAACATTAACCTCAATCGGAAGCCGCTGGTAAACAGTTGATTTTATCCCTAAGAAATGGCAAGAGAAAGAAAAAAGGAATTAACTTGAATGGATTAATTGTTAATGGATAAGAAAGTAAGGTTGATGAATGAAAATTTAAATGTAAACCAGACAAAATGATCATCCATCATATTCATCACCACCATCATCAATCCGAGACACGTTCGCGAAACAATCCAATTAATCCTTCAATTCGTTGTCCAATAAACACTGAACCATTGAGATTAAAATACATCATCAATATTTTCTACTGATTAACTTGATAACAATCAATAAATGGAAACGCTTAAGGCAACAGTTTACATAATAAATAAACACAAGCAGCAAAAAAAAGATAAACTTAAATCTAAAGTCAAAATCAGCTAAACATTAGCTGATTGAATGAATACACAAATGATGAAAATTTAAAAAAGCACAACAATGATTGAAAAACATAGTGTAAGTAAAGCGAGATTAACTGTTATAGTCGCGTGTTTCTGATCATAACAGGTAATGTAAATAAGTTAACAAAAAATTAATTATATTCCCTTGAATTAAATTATTAGAAGGCTAAAGTTGAAAAATTGAGCCATTAATTTGATGAATATTGCTTTCTTTTTTATGTGTGCTTGCGTCTGTTTATCAGTGCGTGTGTCTGTTGAGGTGATTTCAATGAATGGAGGTTATTATTTCAATTGTACAATGAATTTACTGCATTTTTTTACTTTGCTTTGTATATTGTCTAATTGCTGTTTACTGATTGTTGTTTACATTGGGATGAATTGAAGCATCAATCCTGTTCATTGGGTTTCTAAGGTTGTTTCAGCCACAATTGGCTTCAATTGTAAAATAGCTTTTTACGGTCAATTCTTTATCAATCAATCAAATTGTTTCCATTTTTTGCTCTTCAGTTTGGGATTTTGTTTTTAGATCATGTTGATGTTGATGATGATGCAGTCCTAAAAAGTCCTAGGGAGTGAGGAGGGTGATCAACCAAGCAAAGGCAATATATAACTAAATAATGATAACAATAAAAATAATAATGATTATTATGATAATATCACCGGCACTTTCCTCGCAATGAACAAAAAAAACTTACAGTGTTAGATTGTTGGCATCAGATTGATTAGTCTTTCTGGATAATGCGATAATGTGGAGACTAAATCATCATGGTTAAATAAACTTATTACAAATGATGATGATTTGATTATTAGGAAATCAAATTAAAATGTAACCAGCTGTCAGTTGTTAAAATCAAGTCAATAATCATTTCATCCATTATCAACGGTAATTGACTCAAATTTAGGCAAAGTAAACTGTAAAGAACAATATTGAAATGAAAAAAATAAGATAAGTTGAATTTGCTGTTAATTATCATGAATTAGGTGAAAATTGTAACGATGATAATAGGCAGAAGAAGAAGAAGAAAATGATTGCGAGGAAAAATTAACTAACTTTTGATTCGATGGTTGGTAACAATATGAAAATGTAATATTGTTAACATTAACATTGTCTGTTAGTTATTCATCGCCTCATTACCATGTAATTCAATTGACTTGGTTCTTTCATCATTGAATTTTTTCCTTCTTGTTCACTTTGTTTGCTCTTGATGATTATAATCAAAATTTTAGAGACAATTTCTATAGAATAAACCAATTCATTTTCGTCTTTTTTTCTCGTGGGTCAAAATCAAATCACTTTACGCCTTGATTAAATTGCATTATGGTTTCCTTATTTTGTATCTATTGTTGCTTTCCTTGTTGCTGTTCATGATTGTTGTGACAATAGTAATATTTTGACTGTAACACTCCATGAATCTCGATTAAGTGATATTAAATCAAATTTCTGTACGAGTAGACAGTTCAGTTGGTCTGTTTTTCAAATGAAAATCAGTGAATATACCATTTCCATTGCATGTATAATTTTATCTGTAATCCTTTTCAATATTGTCAAATCTCATTTCAATGTAAGCTTTCATCCTCCATGTAATGCTGATGATAATAATAAAACCTGTAATAATGTAAAGAATATTTTTTATGGATTAATGAACAGAAATTTCATTTTTGTTTGAACTTTGTTTTTGTTTTTGTTTCTTCTGTCTGACACCTTTTCAAAAGACACTTCAATTCAAACTATTAAACCAAATATTATTCAATCAAATTTTCATTTTAATCTGAAAAACTGAATAAAGAGAGGTGAAAATTGAATCAGTTTTTGGTTCACCAATTCTCCTTTTTTCATTATTCCACTCAAAATTTTCTTCAATCGCATTTTCTGTAAATTCAGCAAAACCAAGTCTTATTGCATCTTATTGTATCATCAAGCAAATAGACTTAACAGAGATCAACTGAGAATAATAAGAAAAATTATCATTGTTAATTGTCGTAGTTAACTTTTCTGTTGACTTTTTTGTAGGTGGAATGTATTTCTACTTGCCAGCAATTGATTAAAACATTCATCTTGTAGTTATATAATAGCATTTATTTTTATTACCTGAACAAAGTAAAGTTGATTAACTTTTCGTTAGCTAACCCGATCCAATTGAACTCTCGAGTCTCATAAAGCAAGGTTTACTAGTTTAAGTTGCAATTAAGAGTAACCCTGATTAAATCCTTTTGTAATACTCATTCTCTGTTGTCACACATCAGTCTGTCCATACATCAAACGGCTCATTGATTGATAAAATGGTACACGGATTGATTGGGTTTTATGGCAACACGAAAACATGCAAAAGATGAACCATTTGAAGCTCCTCTTGTCTATTTCACCAACTCGATAATAATTAAGGTTAATTGTTGTATGATCAACCCTTTCCACTCTTGTTGCTCCTTAGGAAACTTTGCTTCTCCTGTTTCACTGGGAATTGTTCAGCAACTTTCCATCCTGCAACTCGTCTTTTGGTAAGATTGATTTCTTAATGGTAACAACCTTGATCCTCGTTAATCTTGAGAATGAAAAAGTAGACATCTTATTATTGTGATATTAGTCTTATGGGAATAATAATGATGAAAAAGGTTTCCATCATCTTAGCGGAAAAATGATTGAGTCGAGATTGAAAGAGGTAAGATGGGGAGGATGAACATGTTTCAGTAACTTACCTTTGAAAATATATTAACCATATTATATTTTTGATGAAATTTATCAACTCTGAGTTTCCTTTTTCCTGAATATAAAAAGGAGACAAAAAATGAACTGATTAAGTAACTCAATTTTAACCAGAAAATGAAATAATATATTTAATTTACATGGGAGGAAAATTATCAACTAATTTGATTAAATAAAGTATTGGAATGAGCTTTGCTAACATTGACATTGCTATGGTTGAATAAACTAGAATGGTTTAATTAATCAATTATGTACAAACAATGACAATCAACGGTTTAAACTTTTATGTTATGATTAAGACTATAGTTTATTGTCTCTCTTTAACAATTTAATCAACAATTTACAAGCAGTTTAATGATGTATTTCATCAATTGCTTTGTGTTGATAAAATTGAGACAAAACGCTTTGTTTAAATAGAAACAAGCATTTCTAAAGATTTCAATGATTAAAAACACTTCTGGATGATAGAAATTTAATTCAACTAATATTCAACAAGCAACTAATCAATTTGCAAATTCAAATCATGATATAATTATAATAATGTAAACCTGAATGAGTTTACATCAAAAACTCGGGATTGATTGAAGGTATTCATCATTAGCGATCTTTCCTGTAATGAAAAGGTTTGAAGGGTTGAAAGCTATTAGTAAATTATTGACTATTTTTGATCATTATAACCATCATTTATACTCGTGAGAAAAGATGTAAACTTATTTCTTTACCTTTTCCTTGTCTTCAATTTTCAATGGATTATAACCATCATCAGCACCATCCTCATCGTTATCATCATTATTTTTCATGTTCATCTACTCCCAGAGCTGTAGATCCCTCTTGGTTGTTCAAACTGTTGTCTCCATGAAAAGTAAATTTATCACTATCAAGTCCTAAAATGAAAGATAAACTATCAAAGATTAATAAAGTTAAAAGGTTGATTTGGATGATCAAATGGTACAATTAAATGATTATCCAAAAGTATCCATCTCCTGATGATGATTATGATCATAGTCACAAATTGGACTGATTACCTTATCCAGTGGAAATGGAAGATGATCGACAAAATGAGATGAGCAATCATCTTCTTATACCTTATATCTTGGTAAACAAGTCCAACAAGTAAACTGGCAAGATGCAAGTCCAAATAAAATTAACTGATCAACTGAATCAACAATTTGTCTTCCATGGATGTATATTTACTCGTTTGTCCAGTCTTTTTTTTGGCACAAGGGTTTTTCATAATGATGATTATGATGATAGTGATCATCATAAAAAGAATCATTACCATCAACAATATTTGGCGATCACAACATTTTCCTTTGGCTTTCCATGTTGATGTTTCGACTTATTCAACCAACGAACCATTCATTTAATCTCTATTGGGAAAAAGGTAAAAACAGATAAAAGGATCATTAATTAAATAATATTAGACTAACCATTGGTCATCTCGCAAAACATATCCAATTCTCTTCACTCATACATACATATAAAAGTAAATCAATTGATCCATTCGTTTAATTATCTTACCTTATTGTACTTTCACTGTATGACCAACATTGTCTTGACCATTACTCTAGCTTTTGTCTTGTTTTTCCATGTTGTGTTTATTCAGGGTTTCCAGGGTTAACTTTAGTTTAACCATTTTCTTGCTGCTAATGCTTATTTAATTTGATCATTTGCTTTGTCATCATCATCATCATCCATGAAATGGTTCATCATTGTCTTTTCCTTCAAAAATTGCAATAACCAAACCCAAAAGGACGAGATCTTCTGTTCGGTTTCGTTTTGTTTTCCAATCAAACAACATAATCTGACTAATTTGTAAATCACTAACACAAAATGTATACTGTAATACCATTGAATGTATTACATTACAAGAAGTCTTTGTGGCCAACACAAGTAAAATGTGATTCAAGTTGTAGTTAATTTAAATCAATCCAAGTGAAGATCTAGAACAATGTCAGTTAATTGAGTGGTAAACTTGAGATCACATTTACCATTGTTAAGCAGCAGACCTTAGATAGCAATTAAGTTGAACAACCAGTTAATTGATGTATTGATAGATGGTTAGAAAAGTATCATATTTCGTATCGTCTGCCATGTAAATGTGAATACAGATAACAAGAAAAACAAAGTTTCACAAGATATACAAACAGATGAACCAGAAACCTAACGCACAGTTAAAAGATCATTTAATCAGCGTCAGTCTCAGTTATCAAATTAAAGTTAATTAGTAAATTAATACTAGAAAGTTAACATTAAAGTTGAGCTTATAGATTTGTCAGACAGATAAAGCTATTGCTTAACCCTTAACAACAAAACCAGACAAAGCTAGTTACAATGTGAGCGGAAAAATTAAACTTTTCAATTACTGCTTAGTCATTCAAGTGTTGACCCAACATGTCAATAAACTTCTACATTTTGTTTTCATTTGTTGATTATATCATCAAAAAGTGAATTGTAGTTAATTCAACGGTTAAATTGGTGTGAAATGAATCTATTTAAACTGAAACCACCTTGGATCACCATTTATTACCCGTAAATTGAATCATTACAAATGGTAAGTCAACATTTCCAAAAAAAAAGCTAAACCTTTAGTAGCAAAAAAACCCTTTCATACTGACTTACAACAATAACAATAACAATTATCTTAATGATATCAAATGGTATAAATTATTGTGCTACTCAATTTAAGATAACAAATAATCAAGACTACCTATGGAAGGCAAAAAATGGATCCAGGTCAAGTATAATATATTAATTTAGCGTTTTCAATTACAATTGATTCAAATTGACAATTACTAATGATATTTTACTCTTTCTCTCAAGTGGCAGGTCATAATTCACCCCTTTTATTATTATCCTATCAACAACTACAGATTGTCTCCTCTCGGGTGGCCATTTCACCATTACAAGGGTTTTTCTAGGATTATAGACATGACATATTTTTTGATGTATGGTCCACCACCATTGTCCACTTGATTGCTGTCCTAAAGAGCAGAGGGAAAAATGAGACTAACAAATGGATATTAGTGTTGAAAGGTATTGAAAGTCATAATTCAAAGGGGTTATTTGCTGCAATTGACCAGTATTAATAAGGGAACCCAAGAGTCAAAAGATTTTTGTGTACAAATAATGTGTAAAGTGGACTGTTGAAAAGGCGATTTCCTGTTAATGATCTTTGAATCTGTTTGTTATTTTGCTACAAATTGCCTGTAATTTATGTCTCCATTTTTACTTCTTATGGATAATCAAACCCTCAAGACACTGTTATTAGCATATTTCAACAAATGAGCCAAGCAAACGCCATCCAAAAGATCTTGATAATCAATGTCCCTAGAAATGGTGTTTTGATTTACGTTTATTTGTAATACAAGTACAGATTTCAGTTAAATATCCATATTAATGTACAACATTCATTAATTTGGCCTGATAAGTATTCAAACAACTTGCTTTCTCTATAAAATATCATCACCAAGTATCAAATTACAATACATGGAAGCGATCAAAGTTGATATCTCAATCCCCTTCACAAACGGCTTTTTGGATCGATTACACAGTTTTTCATACTTTATTTTAAAATTCTTGATTCAATGTTTTTAAATTAATTTCAATTTACACAAAAGTCAATCCTGTTTCCTTAGGTTCTACTAAAGTTTGATAGTATAAGTGTAAAAGGGCAACGAATGTTCAGCAATGAATAACTTATCATTCTTGCCATTTCAATATCATGCAACTTCGATTAGCTGACTATGTTGACTTGGTTTTATTTTTTGTGTCCAATCAACAATCAAGCAAACAAACGATTGTCTAATTTTGCTGTTTTTAAGCCCTTTTAGGTTCAAAGCCATTAAGAGATTGACAAAATCAATACAAATGACAGACAAAAAAAAGCAACAATAAGAAACATTATATCACTTGTAACTCTCAAGACAATTGACCAAAACCATAATACTGACCCATTCTTTAGGCTTAATTTTGGTCTTTTTCATTCTTGTTTTTTTTGTCTTTTCATGTATCAGTCACTTTATACACTACCAGTGATACCTTCATCATTATCAACCTTTAGCTGTCGTTGAAGACTGGTCAAACAAACATCTCTATTGCAATGGTTGATATTTATATTGACAACAAAGGAAAAAAAACCTAATCAATTGATGACTTTACATCCTGAGGATCACAAGGAGGATAGGAAGGAGAGGAAATGGTGACAAGGAGAGGAAGAAAAAGAAAGAAAGGATTCAAAGGATAATGATGATGCTCAGGATGCTGTTGAAGTGACCTCACGATGAGATGCACTCTATATACAATCAACAACACATATGTTTGTGTGTAAACCTGAAAATCACTTGTTAATGATCGATTTAGCCTGTAGATTGTAGATAATTGTTTGCCGTTAATTCGATTAACCATTTCAAGTGGCTTGTTATGTGATATTATACATTTAGATTTTACATCTTCCCTTACATTCAAACCTTTTCAAGTGGCTATCATCCAATCCAATTTCCTATTAATAAATGCACGCACATAAATGTGTATATTTATTATAGTATCCACTTGAAGACAACACTGAATTTTATACGTTAATGTAATCATGGTAAATGACTATCATCATTGATTGTTATCGAGTAGAGTTTAAAGTAAAAATAGATTCTAAAATGATTGAAGTATCAAAGTGATGGTTATTATTATTATCAATTGAGGTAAGATACAAAAATACAGTTACAATATTTTGATGAAAATTTTTTTTTAAAATCAATCTTTGTATCCATTTAGCTTGGCATACTTACAACAATCAATGATGGTAATGATTTACAAGGAGGTTTTGAATAGAAACCAAAATCATCTGTTTTTTGCTTTCTAATTTAAAAGTGATATTAACCTGAAATGGTTAACTAAATTGGATTAGTCCCAGTCTATTATCATTGCCATTATATTGTGTTTATATCATGATTTTACTGCTTAAATTATTCCCAATCAGTTGACTTAATCTATTAGGATAAGTGTAACCAAATGTAGTAGCAATGGTAGACTGAATAACTGAAAAAAAAGTAACATAATAGCCAAAAAGATAGCTTTATTAATGGGTGATTAACAAATTATTTTATAAGTGTTAATACATTTTCCTAATGCATGAAACCACTTGTAAATCAACAACATCTATTATATTATTGGTTACCAATGAATACGATTAAGATTACTAATCTTGAATTAACTCTATTCTAGTAAAGTTAATCCGATTCTATACCTTTAACTGTATACAGATTATGCTCATTTTATTGTAATCAATACTTCTCCTTTTTAAATGTAACTTTTTTTTCTTGTCCCTTGTTATTATTTAGGTTGACCATCTTTTTATTACCTATCATGGACCATTGATCAACTAATCAGTAAATCATTTCATCCTTGGTTCCCTTCCATTGAAAAACTCTGTAACCATTCTAGTAAGTTTTTTACATTCAACTTGACTTAAAGTTAAGACTTTAATACCTTTTAAGTTTCCATGTCAAAATGAGTTGAAAAAAAGCTGATTCAATCAGATTTTTTTGCCGAATAGTACAAAATTGAATGGATTCATCATTGTAAATTAATTATCAAAACTTGACTGTATTTCAGTTCATCGGCCTCTAGCTAAACAATTTAGACAACACAAGTTGAATTCAAAATCAGATTGAATTTACCGCTTCAGTTGACATATGTTTTTTGTCTATATTTAATGAAATCTTTTAGTCAAGTGAATATTGTATATTAATATGTGTGGTTTAGTAATTTATATTTTCTTGGTTTGATTAAACGACCGACATTTCTTAATGGTAACAATTGTTTGATTTTAAAGTATATCTCGATGGAAAAAACTGGAACAATTTATCTATTGGAACTAATTTTCATCTATCTTCTTCTCTTTCATCACCTTCAGGTAATTTGATCGTCATCAGTATCTTCCAATTGAATCTCGTTAATTTGATATTTCCATTCATTAACCTAACTTATTCACATGTTAACCTTTTCTTAATTTTACAGTTATCTATTGTGATCCGGGAATCTCGACATTATCATCGTCAGCCTCATCATTTGTTCCCACCTATTCATTGTCTTGTGTTGACTTGAGGACAAAACAGTCTCTTTTGTTCTCGTTTAAGTTAACACTAATTCACTGTCTCCATGTTTAAACAAAAGGAAACATTTAACAATTAGTCAATATCAATCCACCCTTTGATGAGCTTTAAATGGAAACTGTTTTAACAATTGAATTGACAACAATCAAAACAAAAGAGCTTTGCTCATAATTATCATCACAAATTTTGAACAACCTCATCACTTTGATTATCTCCTGAAAGACTGGTTGGTATTTTGTTTTTTTTATTTGATTACTTCAACGTATTCAATTAGATTTCTCATTCTTTCTCTTTATTATTTAGCAACAAATCAGTCAAACACTTGCAACAAACAAATTCAAACATCATCGAGGGAATCAGCAAGTTTACATGGCTTTAATTGAAATGAATTACATTTAAAAACAAAAAAAGCCAGCTCAAGATGGAGAAGAAAAAAAGTCAGCCAACTTCAAACAAGATTAAGAGTAAAAGTAAACTATAGAAAAATCAACAATGATGTCAAATAATCGAATCGAATCAAGCCCATCTAATTATGGATTGAATTGAACTGTTGAGACTAATTCAAACTAACAAGTTGCAGGCAAAAAATGGACCAACCTTTTGCTCTCATGTTTACACTTTGACACAAAATTTTGACTGATTTGGATGCATTTTTCACTCTTCAAAGTAAATCACAAGAAAGCTGAAAGTTGAAAGTAAGTTTCATCATTTTATCTATTTTTTATACTATTCACAAATCTGCTTTATTTAGTTGAATAGATTTTAAATGCATTTTAAATTGGCGCGTAACAAAAGGAAAACGAAAGTGAATGAGTCAACAAAAAAAGTAAAAAAAGGTAACCTTTATATTTTCACCTTGTCCATCTTTTACATTCAATGCCAATTGACAGTGTGTAATAGATTAGACTATTTGCTCAACATTTAAATGGCAAATTACAAAATAGCAAATAATAACTCAATGAAAGCAATAGAAGCTGATCGACACACACAACCACCCATTAAACAAACCCTCTCTTAAAGATTGATACAGAGTCAAATTTCCACTTTGATGTCCATTATTTCTAGCATCTTGTTAAATACTGAAATTGTATTTTTTTTTCATTTTCAATTTTACAGGTCAGTAGTTAATAAAACTACGATAATGAAGTTTACATTGGAGGATAGTATCAAGAAGGATGAACAATCTGGAGCAATTAAATTAAATGATCCTATGACACCAAAACATTAGATTAACATACTGTGAAACCATAATTTGCTTACAACGTGTAAATCATGATCATCTTCATTATCACCTCACTCATCACCTTATAATAATCTATTAAGACAGATTTGTCCTCTTTTTGGGCAATCTCGTCTTCTTCCAATCTTTTGTTTGATTATTACAACTATTGATGGGCCAATATATTTCACCGATCCTCCTCTTCCTCCTCATCATCACCATTACAACTATTGTCACCATTGTACCTAATAACCATCTCTCTTCCTCCGATTATTAGCTTCAATGATTTGCAATCATTAGGATGGAGAAATAAGTTTGGAAACAAATTGTGAAAAAAAGATGGCAAACCTACTAATAATCAATGTATTTCAATGGTTAACTGGTTTCACTGTTCAAGCCCTAATCTCCAAGTGGGTAAGGATTTTCGATGAAAATTCAAGATTAAAGGACTTCCAATGATGAGTAAAAAAAGAAACGTAGACTCGAGTGATTTAAGCGTTTGTACTTTTTATTTTATTTGAAACCATTTTACAGCTTCCAATTGATACATTTCACATATTATATCACACAGATGATATTATCAAGTAAAACAAGGAAAATGAAACCACATACAGGGACAATGTTGGATTTGTGTATATTTTTTTCACTCCATTGTGGTTGAAGTTATGGAAGTTGAACAGAAGTGAAAATAAAAAATGAAATGATGATCCATTTAATCTAATCTTTCTCCTCTCTTTAGGTCATAAGGATGATGATAATGATAATGCGGTTGTTACAATTGTTATCCTCAAGTTAATGATAGAACATGATTTTCAAGGATTTATCAAGCAAACAAAGTAAACCATTTATTGAACGAGAAGACTTTAATACCCATGGTTTCATCGGATATTATTATTGTTGTGCTTTTATTTGGTGTTTAGTTTTATGATTGTGATGATTAAATTGTTCATCTGATCAGTTAATCCGTTCTGGAAAGGAACAATCTTCTCGTAAAATTCATTTTCAATCCTGTTTTTAGATTTAAACTGTACTTCGTTGTGATTATTATTTTTCCTGGTCTTTTCAGTATTTAACAGCAATTTTATCTGTAATTTAATATCACATATACCTTGAACTTTTGGCAAAATCGAGCCTGAACCTTATTCTGAGATATGAAAAAGTGTAAAATATTCTGAGCCAATTAGCCAATGTTCAGTTGAATTTGATTGCTTGTCATGTTAAAATAATTTATGGAGCATTTTGCTGCGATTAAATTAATGATTTGAATGTCCAACTTGTAAATAGATGAGTTTAGTCGATATGAATGTTGTATTAGGTAAATAAATTATAATTGATTCCATGTGAATAAATGAAAATAATAAGCCCATAAGTAGAGTTAATATAATCTATTTGTCATGTTTATGTAACTTTGAATCGCAATATTTTAGTTAATAAATCCCATTGTGGTCATAAATTATGGTCTTTTATATACAAAAAAGGCCTTTTTAATTGGATTCATTGTCAGCTTTTTTAGGTTCACAAACATATTGGATTCATCAGCTTCATCATTAGTTTTAATCATAGAATCAAAAACTTATCCAGATTGAAAATATCAGATAATCTTGCTATTACCAGTGAATACCATTAACATAATTATTCCCAAAAAAAGCAATAATTTTAGCCACAATTACCATAAGATTGTTGATTAATTATTTGCTCAGATTGAAATCAAATGCACAAAATAATGAAAAAGCAATCGATGAGAAACAATTGACAAAAATTGAGTCTTGAATGAAGTTTATTGAAACAGTTTATATACAATCGACATGAAAATTGATTTTACATTACAGTACAAGAACATTTACAATTTAATTTTGTACAATTGTTATCAAGATTATATTAAAATTCATTATTTTATTTGATTGTTGCCATTCGTTATTTGGCTCTTAACACATCACATACATTTTGATGGTTATTAGCATACAAAGTACAATGAAGGCAAAAAAGTAAATCACAATCATTGAAAATTGAATTATGATTATATCAAGTTTCTACAGTTGAATGGGAATTTGAATTGAAAATTGTTTATAACTTGATGTAACAATAATGATAAAATGAATGAGAGTAAAATACAAAAAAATATACAGTTTATTTGATTTCGTCTTATTTACTTTTTCTGTTACATCAACCATGTTAACAACAATTTTCATCGTCTTTTCTTGCTTTCCAATCCCAATGTAACTAAAATAACTGAACCATTCTCATAGGAGCAAGTAAAAGGTAGGAATAAAAGTAATAGTAAAGCACAAAAAGTGATACAAAATTTGATATACAATTTGATTTACACAGTTAGTCAACAGGCCATATGAGTTACAGTTTTATATAAAACAGCACAAGATGAGTTGAAAATGGTATCAATGGATGTGTTGATTGTATGAGAGCCTCTCAACTTGCCAAGTGATTTAAATGATTTCAACAATAGAAACAAAACAAATCAAAAGAAATATCCACAATGAGGAAATAATGTATATTAGGGATTCACTTTTTTCACTAAACAAATAACAATGACAAACAACAAAGCTATTAGTACCAACACTTTGTTTACCAGCTTCTCCTTTCAATTTCTTGATTCTTGTTGATACTTTTTTTGCTAATTTAATAGCCATTTAATTTGCATAATTATTTATCAAAATCTGAAAATGAAATAATAATTATCAAGTGTAAAAGAGATGAAAAAATATATCCAAGTCAACACATGGTTTTCACATTGAATTTCAATGGCTGAAGACATTTGTTTTGTGTCTGCGAGCTTTTAGCGGTTTATTCAATTATTGGTAGTCATTTTGATTTCATGTCTTAATCTAG